CGAACGTGTGGTGGCGTACCGAATACTGTCGTCAGTGTGGTGGAAGCACTGAAACAAAAGATCCAACGACGATTGCCAGACGAATGGGTGGCGAGAGATTGACGGTCGACGACGGTCCGGCGTCCGGTTGATGGCCGCGGAACGCGATGCGGTCACCGGATTCGAAACCAACGGCTGCGGCGGCGGCGGCCCACGGTTACCACCGATCGGCGCGGCCGTACGGTGGACCGCGGCGGCCGCGGCGGTCACCGCGCAGCCAGACGGCCAGAAGGAGATTGGATTCGCGGGCACCAAGCAACCACCACCGTCCGCGCCGGCGCAGGTGCAGGAGCTGTACCGGAGGCTGCACAGCCGGTCCCTGTCGTCGCTGCCGCCCGAGCCGTTCATGATCATGCGGTCCAAGGCGCTCAACCGCAGGGTGTGTATAAACGTAGGTGGCGTCAAGCACGAGATATTGTGGCGCACGCTGGAACGGTTGCCGCACACCCGGTTAGGCCGGCTGAGGGACTGCAACACGCACGAGGCGATCGCGGAACTGTGCGACGATTACTCGCTGGCCGACAACGAGTACTTCTTCGACCGGCACCCAAAATCTTTCAGCTCGGTAATTATGACCTTTTGATCTCCGTGCGATTCTTACCGTCTAAGTCGGGCAAACAATAATATTGTGTTTTTTAAACCCTATTGTTGTTATCTTATTCGTTCCGTAAACATTTTTGGTCCGTGCACGTGGTTTCGACCTAAAGAATTGCTTCGACCGTCACAAACGTACGAGGTTTTCGATTGGAAATGGTGCCTGGTCGGTAGGAGATCATTTTTTGAATAACCGAAATATAATAATAAAAATCCCGGATCCCATTCTGGACGTTCGACAATAGGATACTTATACGAGTATAAACATTTTTTGAGAAACTTCGTGATTTTCTAAGTATATTTTAAAGAAATTCGCGTTGATTATACGCAATTGAAATTTTCGATTAAAAGTAATACTCACTCTAACACTATATCAAACATTTGTAATGATTAGGGTTCGGATTTAAATGCCCTAAAAATATTAAAAAAATGCATTTATGACCTAAAAACTCTAAAAAAATGCCCTAAAAATGCATCATTTATTAAATAAATTCAAATTATTATTAAAAAATGATTAAAAATGAAAAATTTATTTACATTACACTACAAAAAATAAAAAAAAATTAAAATCAAAAATTGAATAAAAAATTAAATTACATATTTGAATTGCCCTGTACGATTAGTATTTCTCTTAAGTTTTGGGATTTGAATGATCGACGATTGTCTGCCAATAAGTTTTTATATACTGAAAATGACCTCTCAATATCAACTGAAGTTAGTCATAATACGAGAAATAGGTCAAAAATGTCCTATAATATAAAAAAATGCATTAAAAACGTCAAAAAATGCAAAAAATGTTTGTGGGTAGAACACGGAGTACCTGAAACAAATTTGTAGCTTGGAAAGACATCCCAAAAAAAAAGATGCAAATGCATTTAAATCCAAGCCCTAGTAATGATCTACCCGACCTTTTCCGCTCAGAATCGTTTTCCCAGGAGCAGTAGTACATTGGTTTTCAAGTTTAAAAGATCGTTACAGTAATATCATTCACCTTTCCTTGAATCCAATCTACTTTTTTTTTTATCTGCTTAGTTTGTCACGGGCGCATTTAGTTACATTTCTAGACAGTAAAGTTTCTATAAAATTAAATTAACATACGTCTATGATGAGTCAAAATCAAACATTTTGATGAACTTAAGACGTTACGGGAAAATTATAGTTTTTTACTTGAGCTCGTTTTATCTTAAAAATTGCACGAGACAAGTTACATGATAATATCGGAGGAATACCATTCATCAATCAATCTCAATTCTCGGTAATACATCAGGATGATATTGTTTTTCTTGGTCTAAAAAAAAAAAAAATTCTAAATGTTAACAAAATATGTAAATTACTACTAATCTCCACTCATTAATATAATAGACTCGACCATTTTCGCCGTTTTCTATTGTCATCGAATTACGTAGTATATTATTGCCTCTGACAGCAGCTCACAAACAACTTTCAGATATACGAGAACCACGGTCTAATCGACGCGCGCGTTATAAGATTTCCGAGCACATAAAAATAAAATCATCGGCCCATTGTTATTCAAAATACTCAACACCACCCCTATTATACGGGTTTTTCATCTTCATGTCAATAGCTAGGTATCCGTATACAGTGTATACTCTACACACGCCCACTCTGTACACATTATTATTATATACGTGTGGCCATCCCTATATAACGTGCCGAGTACTCTTCAACAAACTATTGTTTTCAGACCTTACACCGTTTCTCACCTTAATTTGTATTGCTGATCACGTTCTCGCCTAATTTCGTCTCTGTTAAGACTACTGCGTAATACATAGTATATAATATACACATCTCACGCTGCACCGACTCTCCTAGAATTTTTTATTATTATGGTGGTTGTTTACATTATTTCGTACACTTGAATAAAAAAGTATATTATGTGCTTTGCAATTCTAAGTCAGCGGCTGGAAATAGATATCCATATCGATTTGAAATATTTTACAATTCGATGACTTTCATTTAGAAATTCGAATTCGAAACGGAAACGAATAAATGTTTAGCGATAAAATAATATTGCTCACATTCGAAAGTCAAATAGGTACTTGCAGAACATTATTTAAATGTAGGTTTTTTTATTTTTGTCCCCCGCTCTCAAAACACAATACGCGTAAGTGTTGACGCTTAACCGAAACCTCCTATAGGTACGTAACGTTAAAACCGATAGTACTTGAACACGATTTCATTTCAATCCAACCTAATATTCTGGTCCACCGAGCAATAACGAAACTCGACTCAACTTCACAGTTGCGCATTTTCCATTCGATTTCCCGTGGCGCTACCCCTCGTTTCATTTCACTGATTCCTGTTCGTTTAACACAAGCTCTCGGTCTCGGAAACGCGCAAAATTGTTTTAATCCGTTCGATTCAATTTAACGGCGTAAGACCTGATCCGATGGCCATTGTGAGTACCGAATTCGCTGGTCGGCTCCAACGACAAACGATGACGTTAAGCGTGAGCAACATATATACCATCCGTATGATAAAGCACCCATGCGTGCCCCCTGAGGGAGGGCCAAAGGGGCCATTTTCCCTACTGAGAATTTTTGTTTCAAAACTATACCACGCATATTAATTATAACATAATTTTATTGAGATCCATTTATGAAGTTTAGTAAAATTTATTATATTTTTAGATAATCTAAAATGTATAATCTTAAACTTATTTATTAGTTTATAATGTTTACACATGACTGCATATCGCTCAAAACTATAAATTCTCCCGAGTACCGATTTCTATGACATTTGATTTTGTTCTCATCCATTTTTAGATACACGTTGTTTTGGCCCTTAGAGTTTTAACCATGCCCTGAGCGGGATTTTATCCTGCAGGCGCGTTTGATAACACCACGTTTTGCACCATCGACCAACGATTATAATACATGTGTGCATGTGTGTGCGTGTGTGTATGTGTGTGTTTGTTTGTTTGCGTGTCAGGTACTAAACTTCTATAGGACGGGAAAACTGCATCTGGTCGACGAGATGTGCGTGCTGGCGTTCAGCGACGACCTGGAGTACTGGGGCGTGGACGAGCTGTACCTAGAGTCTTGTTGCCAGCACAAGTACCACCAGCGCAAAGAGCACGTGCACGAGGAGATGCGCAAAGAGGCGGAGTCGTTACGGCAGCGTGACGAGGAGGAGTTCGGTGAGGGAAAGTGCGCGCACTATCAAAAGATCCTGTGGGATCTTCTCGAAAAACCGACCACGAGCATCGCGGCAAGGGTAAGTCTCGTGACGGCAAGCCCGTCACGGTCAGTGAGGCCGCATGCGGCACGTCGACACGCATTGTTTTCTTTTTCGTTTTCGTTTACGCTTGGATTTGACGGACCACACACATGGAAATTGTCTCTCCTCCAGTGGCGACGGACAACCGATCGCACTGAGGGACGTGGACGTTTTGTTTTATTTTATTATTATTATTATTTTTTTTTTATTTTTTAGTCTGATACGTTTAATATTATTTTTGTGTTTCTTTTTCCGAGTGTGTTAACAGGGAATTGTTGCACGAGGCTTCTTTTATTACGGCAGAAAAATTTGTTTTTTTACACCGCAGCCCGACTGTACTACTCTCGACGCATACGCAGTTTCTCCTATAACAACAACTGAAAATGATATAGAACTCGGCAAAATTATATTACACTAAAATTATGACACAGCTACTTTATTACAAAAATGATATACCACCCTTGTGTGGAATGTGCTGTTCGCAATGAACCTGTTCGTCACAGAGATCAACAGTTGGCTCCGATTGATCCCATTGACCACCAAACGATTCGTTGATCGAAAAAAGACGAAACGGTGGACGGATTTTCCGGGGGCACGCGTCGGCGCCGGGGCAGCCATCCGGTGAGCGCGATTGACTTCCCGACCCCGACTCCTGTCCCCGGTAAAGTCTAGTCCGACCATCCGACAAATATAACTGACAATTTACCGTATAATGTTGTGTGTGCGAATGGTTTTTTTGGCGTTTGATTTGGTTTTGTTGGCAAGACTGCGGCTTTCTATGTGGATTTTGCTTTTGATTTTTCTATTTCAAGGTTTTTTTTGTTTTTTTTTTATATATTTACACACCTTTCGATGATTTTCATCAGATTATTGTAACATCGTTGGCCTATATAAAATAATAATAGTTATAATATTCAAATGGCATGGATATATTCACTTGACGTTTATTACAGTATTTATTAAACATACAAAATATGCATCATCATAACGGAGGGTCTACACTTTTCGAAACCTTTATGGATTTTTTGATTTAATCGTCAAGGAACGCTATATGGTAGTTTGTTATCTTTGTTAATGTGTACATGTCGTGGAAAATCCAGGCTACTGCATGATCGATAAAGTTTTAGATCATTTTTTTTTTGTATCAAAATACTAATTTAAACGAGATATCACATAAACCGTCAATATATATATCAAGATATGGTCAGTTGACCATCAATATTTTAACTGATCCTATCAAATCTATAGGAAACATAATTATAAGGTTAATGAATTATTTATCATTTTTTCGCAAAAGACCTTAATAATTAATTTACATTTTATTTTTATTAAAACAAAATTAAGTAAATTAAAAAAGATTCATTATTTATTTTAGTCTAATATTTTTAACTTATTTATTAAAATATTTTGACCATTTTTTCTTAATTTTATTGTACGTAAATTAAGAAAATAACGTATTAAAGCTATTGAATTATTCGAAATATCAATATAATTATCATATTCATAAAAACCATTGATTTGCAAGCATTTAATAACTATTACTTCATCCATAATTTAATACTTTATTATAACCATTCATATTAATAAACACTACACAACTGACGAACTGCGCCTATTGGTTCGAATTTATTTATTTTATTATTATATACAACCAATATAAATCTAACATCTCAATAAAATTATTTTTCATTTATTTGTTTATATATATATTTTTTTCATGTAATCCTATAATACAACGATAAACATTTTTGAATAATCTCATTAAATTTAATGCTTTACGTTTAAATTCTAGATTTTTAATTTCACTTTATTTATCCGAACTAAGCCTGTTAATTAACTCCTCTCCGCTTTTAAAATAAACATTTATCAGCATTATTACACGCAATTATTTGATCTTATCAATGTCAAGAAGGGAAATAATTTTATTAATATTTATTAAGTGCCACATTAAAGTCATTTCTCGTACATAATATCAAAGAAAACATATTTTACTGTGCGTTGTTTGCCTCGGGATATCAAATATTATGTCTGAACCGTCTTATGTTTACACGTGCAACGAGTGCAAAAGTATAAGAAGTCCAGATTTTAGAAGACCGAGAGACACAAAACGTAAACAGTATAATAAACAATCTTTAGTGGAGTTAGTTATTGGAGTACAGTATTTTTAGCCTTGTTAACATTACACGCGTACATTTTGTGTACCTATAACATATTCGGGTTACTTTCAAGTACACCAATAACAACAATAATTATTATTATTTTAAAAACGTTTGTTTTTACTTATGGTGGACCGCCGACAATGGGGAGCAAATTAAAACGAACTAAACGTATAGTTACATTTAATGATATAGCTTTTCAGCGTTGTATCCCCTATTCACTAGGGACCAATTAAAACTATTGCCTAGGTTAACGATATTACAATTGAAAGGCCACAACATTTAAGGTTGTCGCGTATCTTTTTGTCTTACGCGTAACATGAAAATTTATTTTTCTATTTTCTATTTTTATATTATATTTTTTTTATTAAATATTCTATTTATTATTTCCCAGATTATTAATATTAGATTACATGCATTTTGAATGTCCAACATTATGTAAGTCGCCGCGTGCGATATTTATTCGTAAACTTTGTATACTTACGATCGCAAAACTTTAATTACCAATGGTGTTCAACATCCACTCACGCATCAACAGAGATAAATTTCTACATTTTATGATAATACTTCCGGTGATTGTAAACTACGTTCAACGCACAGTTATATACAAGTTAAATAGTTAAATACAAAATCGGACGTGTAGGTAAACTGTGCCCGAGTTTTTATCAAGTGAATAATTTTTAACAGCAAAATTACGAAATATCTTAAATTAATATTTAGTTTGTTACAGCCATATAAAAAATAAAAATAATTATAATTTTAAATGTTTAAATTATAACAAGCACTAACATATTGATCAATTGGTGTTTCACCGCCAAGGCCGTATCAGGGGAGGAGGGTCCAGGGTATCTGGACCCCCCCCACCCGATATTTCTTCAATATTTTACGAATCTCTAAAATAATTATTCATTTTTAATACCAACATAAATATTTTCAGCCAAAAAACGACTAAAGTTCCAATTAAACATTGACTGCTTTTAATTTTATATCATAATATCATATGAAAATATGATATTAATTTTAATAAAAGAAGATTAAATCTTTTTCCGTTTTATTTTTAACCAAATATCAAAAGTTAAAATCTAAATTCAATAAAATTATAATATACATGTTTTAGACCCCTAGAAAAAAATTTCTAGATACGGCCTTGTTCACCACTACTAAATTAAACTTTTTAATTGTTCATGATTTTCTTTTCATTTAGAATTATAATGTTTAAAATGTTCATTTTAACTACTTTATTATATGTTTCTATTTGAATTTCTATTAAATTTTCTTGACCAGTATTGCATATTGTGATAACTATCAATATTTATATCACAATAATTCAATAAAGTGTTCATTTATAAATTATAACCGAAATGCAGTTTACCAAAAACAGGGTAATTTATGCACAGTTTAGGATATTCAATAATTCGTTGTCAGGTTATTGTTCGAATCTTATCATTTGAAAAACATTAAACCAATTAAAAAAGACATGTTACGCGTAAGATTAAAACCGATGGCAAACCCACAGTGGTCATTTCAAAGATCATGGAAAGGTGACGTAAATTGTTCAGTATGTTTTTACAATTAGAAAGCTATTGAGAAATGGCACAATACAAATATTTTATTATAAGCTCGAATTCAAATTACAGTTTAACTGGTCAGCGTTAGTTCATTTGTATACATAAAATGCTGTTGCTTTCCATCGAAATCGCTTGTATTTCTTCAAAAGCACGTGATTAATGATTTATTTACTACACAGCGCTTAATGCAAACAACAGATGTTAAACTATTTCATGTAATAATACTATGTGTGACTAACGAAAACAAAATATTATCCATTACTACAAAAGTAAAATTGTACTACTAGGATATTTGTGAAAACAACAATATCTCGATACTACTATGTAGTATAATTTCGATATCGGAATTTTTTCATTAACTTTCGGAACACAGTTTAATTAACTAAAGAAATAAATGAAATAGTTAATAAACGGTAAAAACACATATTTTCAAAAGAAAAATAAACCTGGCAGGTTCCTTCAGGTAGCCTTACATTATTTTAAAACCGATGCGGACGAAAAAATTCGAATCCATAAAACCACTCGTTGAAATGTTATATAGCAACTCTATGTAAATCGTCCATGTATCTGCCAACTGTAAAATCAGCAAGATAGCACATGTATTACATAAATTATCATAGTATACGGTTCCAGTACAAGACAATTATAATGTCGTGCGATTAATTTAAAATATTGCACATTTATCGACCATAAAAAACTATTCTTGTTTAATTAAAACCAAAACAATTATGTACTGAACTTTCGTTGACCAGTGTGAACTCATTTTACGCGGGTACCCGTAATAACACGTGCGCACGCATACACTCACACACAAACACACACATACACTTACACATACACACACATCATGTTCAATAAAATATACAGGGTGATTTTTTAAGCATGCTCACCCTTTTTTATGCTTTAACTTTGTACTTTTTCATTTTTTGATTTACGGTAAACCTATGTTTACCAATAATAACTATATTTTAAGATATATATACATTTTTTGTACTTATTAAAATCAATACCCTGAGGCATTATGAACTTTTTTTTCTAAATGGGAACACCATATTTGTTACATATATCATTTTTCAATTATATTTTATAGATAAATTGATGTATCATAATCAATATTTGTACATACTGTTATATTCGGAATAATTAAAATTTAAAATTGTATACATAAATTTAAAATAATTTTCCTTTTAATATTTTAATAAGCGTTTTGTAATAAGGATTTACATTTAAACCGCATAATTTCAAAATTTTAACCATAATAGCGATTAAATAAAATAATAAATTATATTTCCTATACTATCATAAATTAATAATAATTTTCTTGTATATATTAAAGAAATTATAGCAAGTCACTGAAAAATATGAATAACTCTCAATGTAGTTGTCCGAATTTTAATTTGTGTTACATCAAAAATTTCAGAAAATTTAACTGAATCATTTGCGTGGAAAAAACGATGTACTAATTTGAAAAACAATTTCTATTAAATGGAAAATATTATAGTTTTATAGTACACATTCATTTTCCAATAAATTCAAATTATAATACTACATAAAGCGATAAAAAAGGGGTAAGCATGTTTAGAAAAAAAAAATCTCCCTGTTAATATATATATATGTGTGTGTGTGTGTGTGTGTGTGTGTGTGTGTATATGTGTATGTACGGACCTATTTCCACAAAACGGAGGGCAGTTGCTTGCTATTATCGATTATGTGCGAGAACGCCATAGTAGCACGCGAACCGCAGAAAACGGTGACGGCGGTGGCGGTGGCGGAAGGAGATACGTTAATGTGACGATACCTGTACGCTGTGGAAATCGTTTATAACGACACCCGACGGGCCAACCGAAAACAGATCGTACACAACGAACGACATAGTATTCGTATTGGCGAATTCGTTAAATGGCGCGTCGGTTGTTTTTTCCACTGCACTGCAACAATATACAGAGAGGTCCGAATGTCCGCGTTAATCCCTCCGGACGCCACTACAACCGGCATCATTGTAAACGGGGGGGAGGGGGAATCTTATAACGTATAAATATATACGCGCGATCGAAAACAAAGACAACCTTAACTGAGACCGGAACATTATCATTTCTCTAACCTGAGATAGTTTTTCGAACGAGAAATGTTCCGCTCTCTGCATACACACTCGATTTTTACATTTTTTTTTTTTTTTTTTTGAGAATAACGCAAAATATTAATACGCTCATAGATCGTTTTTCAATAAGTATATTACCCACTGATAATATTACATTTCAGGGTAGTTATAAATATTTTTAAAAACCACGGCCGTTGTTTGTAATAACGTTTATCTTCAATGCAACTCTGATCTAGGGTACTTTGTATGGGCACGTGATTTTATATTTCGACATTATCCAAGAGATATTTAAAAATATAGTCCTTGGAGTGGGCTTTCAACCCGATCTAACTAATACTAATACTAATACTAAGTAGTTACAGCCGGTGCCCGAGCGATGAGTGCGTGTCAAAATCGCGAAAAATAAATGGCTGGTACTGAATTGGTTCCATAACTCCAAACCCATATGCCGAATTGGTTCTTATCGATATATGATAATATATATTTAAAGCTTTTAAAATTTTGTTTTTTCTCTTCTATACACTAGCCTGCTGAATTTTAATTTTTAATAATGTAGGTAAATTGTGTTAAAAATTAAAATTTTCAATATTTTTCCTGTAAACAAACGAGAATCAATTCGGCTATACCTAATAAAATACTTTTTTCAAACGGAAACCAATTCGGTTATACTTAATGAAATACCTTTTTCAAACGGGAACCAATTTTGCCAAATAGGAACCAATTCGGCTACTCCCAAATAAATAACGAAATGTTTGAACAGCGAAAACAATAATAGCAATCTATTTTTTATTTATATATGCAAATGCATTTATTTTTATTAGATTATATTTATATAAAATATTAATTAAAAATATTATTAGTATAATTATTGTTATAATTTTCATTCTAACTATACAAACTTGACGTTCAATATTTAGATTAGATGACGTATGGTTATACTCTCTTGGCCTTTTATAATGTTTTGATTTTAATACTAAAACGTGAACAAAATTGTTCGTCATTAAATCTATAACTGTTAATATTTTGATACGTTTTGTCAAACCTATAAAAATAACCACTATACTTCAATTTACTTTTGTTCTTATATTACATATCTTGTATAACAAGTGTCTTTTACGAAGTAATGTAATGACTTAGATATAACAGATATCATACACACTTGATAAATAGCTTGAGTAGTATTCGGAATATTGTATTCAAATATTTTTTAGCATTACCAATACTTTTGAAATATTTTTTATTGAAAGTATTGAAAACAGTATTTTGAATAATTTTTATAAGTATTCTAAATACAGTAGTTATTCCAAATACTTTTTGAACAAATCGCCTTTTTAAATAATTTCACAATATTTCTTTCATATAAATTGCTTTTGTACTCGTACATGAGAAGTTACATAATATTCCATTTATGTTATTGTTTATATTATTTTTAGTGAGACGGAATTGTTGTTATCCAATTTTGTATAAACAGCCAACGGCCAACAACAATAAAATTATAATGTCAATAAAATGTTGAAACAAATGTAGGTACATCTGGGAAATAGTATTTGAAAAATACTTATATAGTATTCGAATGTTCTTATCTTGTAAATATTTTTAAAATTGATTCTATCCAAGTCAGCAGATACAACAAGTAGCAGGACTACGACTAAACGTCACATTACGATACATTATTTTCGTACTACTGAACTGTGCTATTCGACTAGAGAAAATATTATCAATGTCCTGCTCGATTATTGGTTTTGTTGTTATAACATTTCGCGATTTTTGTTTTCGTGGTTTTGAGTGTCGCCCCCGAGCTCTAGTTCTTAATATTTGATCGCGGAAACGATTTTCCACCGAGTAAAATATACGGGGAATCATATCGAAAACCGTTGACTTACGCGGTAAGCGTTTTTTTTTAAATATTTTCGGTCGTCTGGTATTTGCTGTCTGGAGTGGAAATAACAACAGTTAACAACTTTTAGTGCTGTAATTCGGTACCTTAAGAAATCATAGTTCTCGCGAATAACACCTAACTAACTTTATCGGTGGCCACGTTGGACATAAAGCCCGCTCGGACACGGTACTGCCGCCGTCGCCGCCGTGGACCGACATCTATATGTACATATAACAGCAACGCAGCAACCCTACCGCACGTCCGTACGTGGTAAAGAAGGCCCAGCATGCGCGCGCTTGAACGTGTACGTGTGCGCACGTACGAGGACGCGTGGGTATGGCTGCGCAGCGCACAAGTGCCTTTGCGAGACGACGACGAGTGACGACGAATCTGACCGGGGTCGAAACGGGATTGTTTGTGACCGCAGGTGATAGCCGTGATCTCGATACTGTTCATCATTATGTCGACTGTGGCGCTGACGCTGAACACGATACCGGCGATGCAGGTGAAAGACGAGTCGAAGGGCGTGTTCCAGGACAACCCGCTGTTCGCCATGGTGGAGCTGGTGTGCATCACGTGGTTCACGCTCGAGTACCTGCTGCGGTTCAGCGCGTCACCCAACAAGTGGAAGTTCTTCAAGGGCGGCCTAAACGTGATCGACCTGCTGGCCATACTGCCGTACTACGTGTCGCTGATATTGGTGGCCGAGACCGACAAGACGGACACGCACCAGTTCGACGACGTGCGCCGCGTCATACAGATATTCCGGATCATGCGCATACTGCGCATCCTCAAGCTGGCCCGACACTCCACCGGGCTCCAGAGCCTCGGGTTCACGTTGCGCAATTCGTACAAGGAGCTAGGCCTGCTCATGCTATTCCTGGCCATGGGCGTGCTAATATTCTCCAGCCTGGCGTACTTCGCCGAGAAGGAGGAGCCCGGCACCAAGTTCTTGTCCATACCGGAGACGTTCTGGTGGGCCGGCATCACCATGACCACGGTGGGCTACGGCGACATATACCCGACCACCGCGCTCGGCAAGGTCATCGGCGGCGTCTGTTGTGTCTGTGGCGTGCTGGTCGTTGCGCTGCCCATTCCGATTATCGTTAACAATTTTGCCGAGTTCTATAAAAACCAAATGCGACGCGAGAAGGCGTTGAAACGACGCGAGGCGCTGGAGCGCGCCAAACGCGAGGGCAGCATTGTGTCCTTCCACCACGTCAACCTGCGGGACGCGTTTGCCAAGAGCATGGACCTGATCGACGTGATCGTCGACAACGGTAAGTGTTGTCACGGAGTCGGACCGCGCAATTCTCTCTCTCTCTCGTTGCCCGAAGATCCTCGATCTTGAGTTACCGTCCTCGTCCTCGATCTCGATTCTCGGCTTCTTCCGGTAGGCCCAGACCAATATGGTGCGCGCACTTCGGTAAGAACGACGGCATCATATTTTCGTATAATATCATTATATGCTGTGCTATAAAATAATAAAAATAAATGTTTCTTGTACGTGTTGGGAACGAGTTTAACATTTTAGTCGATTTTCAGAGAGCGACATCCCGAAGCTGTCCAAACAGAACTCGCTACGATCGCACGGTGAGTTGATTTTAATTGATTTGCTTAGCGCGATAATTGTAACACAGAGACGGGGGACAGGAAGAAAAAAATTTTATCTACATCCAAACAACGAAATACTTTTACCGTCGATAATTTGTCCAACGCGCCATAGCTATTATCGAACTGAATATTGTCTGTACCTTCGATTTGCCAAAAGTTTTAAAGCGTATTTTATTTGTACGTACAGATCGAGTCTAGTAACAATAGTTTTATACAGTATTATGTGTGCTGTAATTTTTTTCTGACTGTTGGTTCATCGCAAAAAATATTATAGACCATCTATTGATTGTTGTTATCGAATACAGACGAAGGTACTTTTAAAACGTCATGTTTACATTTCTTATATTATAGTTTAACGAAAAAACACATAAAACAAATCCTGGAATTTTGTGGTTAATCGACTTTCTACTAAAACCATTTCTAGCTTTCTGAAATAAATATTATTTTTTTTTTTTTAACAACGATTCAACTTCTTTTAACTATACATTGATCATTAACTAGCTACTGATCATAAAAACATTGATCAAACTAATCAAACTATTATTTTCAAGCCAAATCGAATTGTTAAATACTCATGATTCAATTGATTCTTTTAATGGTTGTTTTAATGGTTAATGTTTCACCATTGAAAGGATATTTTAGGCTTTTATTATATTTACTTTTTTGTTTTCTTGTATTTTCATTTTTAGTAAATTTAAAATGATGTCATATTTGTATTCTTTTTTTTTCTTTTTTTTTTAAACGTAAACCATATAAGATACGTACGCTAAAATAACTACTTTGGTAAAACGAAAATACCGTGTTTCCTTATCGTATTGAAAAAAAAATCTCTGATGAAACATAAAAATATATTTTTATTACATACCAATCTACGAAGCTTGATTGTTACATTATTTCAATAGTATTATGCTATTATCTTAATTTTTTTTTATTCCGATTAAATATCGATAAATATACCGCAAAAAACGTACGTTTGAATTTTATTTAAATCGTTAAATAATATCATACACGCCGTGACCAGGAAAAAACATCTCAACTAGTGCGCGTTTGACATTTTTTTTTTATTATTATTGTTTGCCACTAGCGTGTTTGCCAATATGATGGTCGACAAAGCACAATTATGACACAAAGCAAACGGCGTAATGTGGCAATGTAATGTATAATAATACATATTATATAATGTTATACAATTCGATGTACTCGTCGAGTACCTACAACTTCCTGAACGTTTTTTACATTAATTTCTTCATTATTTCGGATACTGTGTAATATTATGTTTTGTCTCGTACACCATTCACGAGAAAACGCCTCGTCGACACAATAGCAAACCAAAAGTGACGACGATGATTTAGACGTTGTTTCTCGAGATTATTGCGTTTTAATACAAACGAGTATGGCGTATATGAGCTTAAAATGCGTATTTTCGAAATGCTGTCGTCACCTACAGACATTTTATTTGGGATGGCGGTATTATAAATGTTGATACCGGCATCTGGTATTCGATTACTTCCGGTATCTAAGATATTACCGGTTATAAAGTATTTTTGATAATTACTTAAGAGATTAATACACTTCAAATATCGTGACTTGTATTATATAATAATATTACTTGTAATCCGTATTACCTGTATCATATTCTTACAAAAATAATAATAATAAACTAAAAAATAAAAATAAATTTTGTCATGTATTATTGTATTAACATTTTGTATAACTGCTATAATTGAGGGTATTTTCGGTAACAACGTTAATTACCAAATCACGGTATACTAATATTCTCTTAGACTTATACCGAATACCGGCATTTTTTAAATACTGGTAATTGCCGATAAATCGAAGATACTGCCAGCTCTAAATGTTATGTACAAAACGTTCATTTTGAAAGCATCTGATCAAAAAGCATTATATCCATTTTTTAAATATTCAACATTTTATTCGTTTCAAAAGTGTCAAAAACATTTATTAAAAACAGCCCATGTACAACACGATTAACTAGAACTTTCTGACTTACAAAAGTAAAGTATTCACGACTTTATACTCGATTATAATTGAGACCGGCCTACACTATTCAGCAGTACAAGTGAGTGTTTTTGAATACGTTTCGATATTACGCAACAATCAATAGAGGTCTGACTTTTGAAGTTATTTATACATTGCTGTGAAATGCATTGAAAGGTTTACCTTAACTCCGGTGATTGTTTTCCATAGATTTTCACGAAAATCATATAACTTATTTACATGGAACGCTTTAAAACTGACGGCTATTATTACGACACTAAAACACTGAGAACTTTGTTTGGAGCTCAAATTAAAAATCAATATAATGTGTAGTCAGGAGTGAGGAAATCTTAATGAATTCCACATCCATCAAAAACATTTAAGTTCAACTTTTCACCGTAAAACCAGCTTTTATCCACCCACACATTATGAATAATAAACGCGTCTATATGAAAAGCGATCCATAACAACGGTGGTACTTTATACACACAAACACATACCACATATATATATATATGTATATAAAGTGGTCGCCGCTTATTAAACTCGCTTTGAGACCAGAACATTTGAGTGAATAAACCAAATGATTCAATAAAGTGAAAGGTCCTTAAGAAAATAATACAAATGGGCAAAAATTGAAATAACTTTAAAATATTTATCGAGATCAAAATTAATGTACAATAATGAAAATAATGTAAAAGTGTATTTAATTTAAATAACAATTTGTCCATAATTTATTTTTGATATATAACTAAACTAAGTTCATTAAGTTTTCCCGTGTTCAGTAATTTTTATTATCATACCCTCGTAGACTGTATGTTGCTCAAACGCGTTAGAACCGTCTTATTGCTGAATCTCTCAGCGCAGAATCCGAAGTGCTGCTAGTCTATAGTGATTTCTTATCAGGTTCGTATTCGTCTTCTTCACTAACAAAAGTGTCATTCTTCTTTCATCGTTTTCACTGTATTTCGCCACAGATGTCTTCCCCGGTCAAAACTTCAGTAATTTTGAACATGTTCGTCAATGTTCTTCGGTCTATCATAAAGTTCGGCCAATACCTACGCCGGCGGGTCTTAAAACCAACTTTCAATCGCTCTGGAACCGCGGAAATATAATTTAGTCGCTATATATCACTACGATATCAACGTGGTACCGGTACATCTTAAACTTTCGTCGATGTTTGTTCTGTTTTCTTTATCTAACGCATTGTTAAACGGCTCCCCCATTGACCGGTGCAGCGGGTCCAACAAATCAATAGGTTTCTACGTATCCGGTATACGCGCAAATCGCGTTCGGGTCCAACGGACGAATGATTCGATTAACCGTTGGTCCATTAAGGCGGCGACCACTGTACACCGTACCCGTACGCGTGTTTCTTGACGCTTTTCGGTTTGTTAAACGCGAACGATTTTCCGAACGACTCCGTCCAGGAAAATAATACGATCGTGAACCATTGTGACTCGTTGATTTCCAATCGGTAGTCCCTATATTTTTAGTGAACCCCGATACAAAATGTGTAGTCAGAAACTGCAAGTGTGCACTACGGATTCGAGAAGTGTGTACCTACTAAACACTAATTAATAAGACTACCATGAACACGTTTTTTGGGAAGCCAGTTTAAGCTAGATAGTTGATGAGAACTTAAATATTCTATTACATTTTAAATTATATATCCCACATTAAAATAAATAATTTGTAAATAGTTTTCAGATTTATACCAGGCAAAAGTATATTTTCAGTTTAAAAAATAATAACAGATTGGTTTTTAGTTTACCTAATTATAATGTACAATTTGATTAACAAAAAAGAACTATTGCTACAAATTATAGTTGACATTATACTAAAAATTATAATCACATGGAAGGGAGTAGAGGGAATCTTTGTATTAAATATATTGAATATTTAAAAATGTGTAGTACAAATTTTTATGAAAAATAGGGACTGCTAATCAGATGTTCCACGCGCAACGTTCGCGTGTAAAACGCGACGTGACGCGAATCGTTATATTTTTTATTTTCCTGGACCCGAGTCGTCGGCACCACAAGTCGAAAACCGCTATCGCTATTGGGTCTGTCTGTACGCAGTCGATTAGAACACCACATCACAATTCTGTTGTTATCGCTGTACAGTAAAATATAGCCAATATAATAAAAAATATATGTTAATTAATTACAATTTTCTTCTGTCGACATCATTTATTGTTAATATTTCATATTTTTAAACGATTTCAACCGTTAATTACAAATGTATACACATTTTCCTTAAATTACCTTCATATTTTATTGATTTGACTACAAAAAAATCAAAACCTAATTCCAATAAATTTGTCGAGCACGATTTAAAATCGTTTCCCCTTAAACGAAAGTTCTATTAAGTATAGACGATTTTTCTAAAACTTAGTGTCGTCCATTTCAACAAGAATAATTAAAAAATGATTTGAACCGTAGGAAATCTTACCTTACACGAGTTTGGGACTAAAAGAAATATATGCACGATATTAATAATGGAATATCCCGTTCGTAATATTCGATCCTCACTAGTTCACGAACTACAAAAACTGAACAAACATTGGAAACATTTCATATGGGTGGTTTAAAATATGATACGAATCGCAAAGTTTTACTGTCAAACGCGAATCGAAGGTAATTTTCAAAACACGTATACGTTTGATTCAACGGTCCGTTAAATCGTTTTGCACGTGGACACGGTGAATCCCCCGATTAAAATTTAAATATTTCGTTTGTCGACCGTAAATATCTACGTGTACTTCTTATACATCATGATGATACACGTTTTCGGGGGCGATAACAACGATGACGTTCCGATCGACCGCGAACGGACGGACCGATCAACGGCCGAGAGCTCGTGCTAAACGTGTGCGCGCGCGCGTGTGTCCGAACAGTGGGCAGCAATTATTCGCAGTACGACGGGACGAGCAGCGGCAGCGAGACGGCACCGTTGAACCCGGCGCCGGCGCGCGGTGCCGCACCGCCGAAACCGGAACACCAGACGCTGTTGGACATCGATAACCCGGAGCAGAACGCCAACTCGTTCGGGAAGCCGTTCGAGAGCTCGGTGAGTACACGCCACCACCTCCGCACCGGAGGCACCGATCGCACCGATCGCGTTAACGGTTCGTCTTGGAACCACCGCACGTTCGCGGGGGTGGGAGTCCTGTTCGGAAGACCACGTCCCAACGTCGCGTTTAAGAGTACGCCACACCCGCGCGTGATTGGGTTTCCCCCCCCCCCCCATTTTAACTGTTACGAGTGTTACGAGTACGTGAAATGTAACGATTAAAAGACCATCTTAACCCGCTAAAAAAAATAAAAATTAATACGTCGGAAAAAACCGACCGGTGGAACGCAGATAACGTTCTTCCCTTAAAGTTCGATTGTGGGTCAGTTTAACCTCTAACATTAAAGCTAACTTCATTGCGTTCGCTATGTTGTACGTGTGTCGGACGGAGACGACACATACGGGCGTGACGTACTCATAAGGTTGAACAGCTATTGTTCTTGCGCGTGAATTAATCGGTGCGACGCTGACCGCTAAACGGATCGCACAAAAAAATAATCCGTTGTCAAACGTGATCGATAACGGTCGAAATCGATACGATGAGTGCATGCCTCTCCATCGAATCACTAACGTCGATTATTTTGAACGGTATAATTAGTCCGCCCTTAAAGTGCACAGTCGAAAAAACGAGTCGCATTTATTTTTCTTCGTTAGCCCAAAGCGAATCCGTCTGTTTTATTCTCGATGTGTAGTCGTCAAGTTGGGTTAGGATCAACGGTTTATTTTATTCAAATATTCTCCGGCAACGATCCGACCTTGTTAAAACTGTTTGGTAATGTTTCGTTATAATTTTTTTTTTCCGATTGTCAAAAAGCTGGGCGAAAATATGACAAACCCTCGATGTGGGATATCGTGCGCACACAAAACCACTGGTTGACTCTTTTGTCCATTGCTTATAAATACCGTCTCTTCTCATCCGAACACTTCGTTAGAAACAGAATTCATAAAATCCTGGTCAGTTAGAAAAAAAAACTGAAGTACGTGTCATAAAACATTTGCTCTTTGTTGTCATACACAATAGCTGTGCCGTTATATCCGTACTCATAACGCTTCGTATTGTTTTCGATGTATTTTATAAATCAAATCCGATCACATAAAATTAAAGTCAATTGTAAATTTACCAGTATAATACGCGTAGGGAAAAAATTTTTACTTACTTAAAACTTTTTTATTTCAGTTATTATTTATTTTTTCTTTTGACGTTTAAGATTAATAGTACGGACGCGGGGAAATAATCGATAAGTTCGTGAATCTATTCAATTTATTCGTTTCGAATACCAAACAGTTGAAATACTTTTCAAAGACAATCATTTGTCAAGTTTTGTATATATATATAAATAAAAAAATAAAAAAAAATACAAAGCAATTAATTATATACAAAATCAAAAAAAAAAACTGATTTGACAACTTAATGCCGTTGAAGTTTGATAATTCTGATTATTTTATATTTGTGCATAATTATATGAAAGTTAATCGATTTTAATTATTGACAAAGGTATAGATAACAAAAGAATAAACAGACCTTTTAAAATAAATAATATACAGATATAATATATAAAAGAATAATACAGTACTGTAGATATTTAACAATTTCGCACATTGCATTGCTTGACTTTTTTTTTATGTTTTCGCAAACGGTACTAATATTTTTCTTTTTCTTAATAAAAACTACGGTATAAACTTTAATACGTCAAATAATGTAATAATAATTAATTTAATTTCGTGAAATGGTATGTATAAAATAAAATAAAAAGCTATTTATTTTATTTAAATATGATAATTTGTTATATAATGCTTGCCGCTGGAGTTGGAAAATTCGCTTCTTTTTATTTTAACACTATTTCATAATTGATAAAATGTTATTTGTCAAAAATAATGTTTCCTTAACATCATAATATAATACACATACATTATTATAAAATAAAAATAATTTTATCACCCGTTTTGTTTGAAAGATGAAAATTAGGTATTTTCAATTATTTTTTTATTAAATGGTAAATGTTTACTTAACATACAAATATAATAAAGATACTTTTATAAATTATAAATATTTGTAAAAAAAGTTTATAAAAACATGCATATTAATTTATGATAACAACACATTATTAATGTAAAATTCATAAAATAGCATTGATATCAACTATTTAATATGCCTTCTAAAATAATATAATAAATATATGTAAATATTTTTTAATAACATGTATTCTTAAAGAAGTGATATAATAATTAATATATTGTAAGTTATAGTACAAAATTATTTGGTAACATAATGTATTTTATGTAAATATGTAAATTTACAAATGTTTTATAAAATAATATCAAACAAAGTACTTAAAAAATATATTTTTAACATATTATGTTATAATCTTATAATTAAAAATGATTGAAAATGTAATTCGTATATTTATAATTCATGGATAAAACCTCAATATTTAACTGAAAAATAACTATAATTATTCAAATGATGAACATTACATATAAATCTAATAAAAATATTTTAAATATACTTGAAGTTCTATGGTTTATTATTATAACATAAAGAGATAAACCGACATTTTTTAAAAATAAAATGAAAATATCAAAGAGTGAAGAAGAAAAATTATTGACACATGATATCTCATTAATTTAATGGGGGTTTAATTATTATTCATTAAAAAAATGGCATTGGTATGTTTGTGTGTAATCTTCAACTTACATTTTTTCGTTAAATATAAACAAATTGTTTTTAGCTTGTTTAACTTTTCTTTTAAATTGAAAATTATCTCAATTTTTATTCAGAATGAATAACTGTTTTATGCTTAATAAATATTTATAAGTTTATGTCGTTTTGGATTGGTTTTTGCGTGAATTTTTTTTATGAATGTTGTTTGTTTTGTTTGTTTTTTTTCTAGGAGAAAATGACCATGAGTTGTTTTAACGAAAAATTAGACGAAAATTTCAATGAGTTTGAATGTTGCTCTTGTAGACAAAAGGTACAGGAATTACATTTTAACGATTAGTTTATTCCTAACATTTAAAGTCTAACCAAAAGTAGACTTTTAATATTTCTTTTATAGCTGCAAGTAGAATAAAAAAATATACTATCATTAGTTTTGGTTATATATTTAGATCAAGTATTCACTCAATACATGTACTATTATTGTTTACACAAATATAATAAAATTCATCAGAAACTAAAACACAATTAAAATATGTACCTATTATATAATTTTTTAATAAATATTTAAATATTATTTTATTTTTTTGAAATATTAATGATTTAATAAACATTATTTTATATTAACAACTTTGTTGATTTTTAATTAATTTGAATTTTATTCAGAATGTTACTTAAAACTTTGAACTACATTTAAATAATTAATTTTAATGGAACGAATTTTTTTTTATAAAAATTCATAATATATGTTGTATATAGATATTTATTGAAGTGTTTATTGGTTTTTAGTGAATATCGTACATCATGAGAAATATCAGTTATATACTCGTATTTTTTTTTTTGGGATTTTTTGAAAATATTCAAAACTTCTTATATACTTTTATATTATCTTGTTTTCATTTAAAACAGTGATAATCAAAATTATAAGGATACTTTATTAGTGCTAACGAATCGGTTGGTATTTATGGAATTTCATAAAAATGTTAATTTTAATCAAAAATTACAAAAATCAATGGAAAATATTTCAAAGAGAACTTCAAATAATTTTGAAATGCTAGTTAATTGAATACTTCTTTTAAGGGATTCTTTTATGTTTTTGTTGATCTCTACATTAAGCCCATGTTGATCCAATCCACTCAATCCAATAAGTCCTTTATGATATAATACCGTAGTGAAAAGTTATTAATTTAATCGTTTAAAAAGAATCATTCTATAGATATGGCATTTTATCCAACTTAAAGATATGTGCTCTTTGGTGAAAAAATTTAGAACATTTAAGTCTCCATTATTATATAATCAAAACGAAAAATAAATAAATAATTTACAATAAAATAATATTTAGTTTTTCGGTTATGTTTTCGGGTTATGTAGAAACTATGAATAAATTGTATTTATAACCTTGTCCACATTAACAATAAGTATCGCTGATTCGTTACACAAAACACAGGTTATTCTAATAAGATTAATATTTTTCGAGACATATAGAATGAATCACTCAAAAATAATAACTGTAGAATGGTAATTATATGAAATGCGAGACGTAATACCTATAAATTAAACACATTATAAATTGTACATGTAAAAATGTAAAAATAATTTGAGTTTCATACAATTAATACCCATTGTTTTATTGACAATCTTCTTATTTTGATATTATCAAACGAGTAATTTTACAATATATAGTTGTATTAATTACTCATAGTCTAATATGAAATTTTATATATATATATAGAGAGAGAGATTAATAAACAGTTTTTATTAGAATTTATTATTTTCTTGATAACTATAGCGAACATAAGAACAAATACACACTTTTATTATCAATGTCGATAACAAGTTCACTGGTCTGTTGTTTATTATTTATCTGAACAATATTGATACCTACTGGATTTGTAAAGTTTCATAGGTCTATTATTTTCGTAGTCACCTATAATTTCAAATCCAACAAACCCTATTCGTCATTTGTCCTACTATATACCTACTCGAAAACTACCGATATACAGGAATGAATTCAGTCCAATATTTTGGAAAGACTTATTGTTCAAATTCAAAGGACACATATTTAAAATTATATGTTACCCGATTTCTACTAAGATTAAAATATATTTAAATTATTTTAATCATATATTAATATCGTTAATTTCAAATTCATATATATTTAGTTACAACATGATTTATATTTTCTTATTGTATATAACAACATACTACTACGTTACAGATAGAAAATTTTCATATTTAAATAAAAATATACATATATATATATATTTTCAACCGTGTCTGGTACATCCAAACTTTCCAAAAAGCCCCGAATCATAATGTTGTTTACTTTTTTAGAACCTTATTTTCGTCGTTCCCTAGATCCACCCCTGCCGTACCAACCGAAAGTTAGTCTATCCCTGATGCATGGTTGTTAACTGAGTAATAATTTTCACGCACGCTGCTTGCCGACTATCAACCTAGATTGAAATCGAATCAATTTACATGCAATATATTCATGGACTATGTCGTAATAATTTTATAATGTTACGCACTCTACAGCGTTTATTTGACTGATGTAAAATTACGTTTTGCACGAGATTTCCGATTTTTGCGTTTTCACCCATTGTTATTTCTTCAACGGTACACGGAAAATGAGGGACAAAATATTAAAACGAGAAAAAAAAGGAATTAATCACAACCTACGCGAAACAACAACGCGAAAATTAACAATTCTACGAATGAATTGTAGTGAGTAATCTAATTCTAGTGAATAATCTATGGCAAATGAGCTTAAAAAGAGTTGATTTCACAAATATATAATTATAAATTTATATGGATGATTTACGCAGATTATTAGTATTATTATTGTTACGAGTATTATCATTGTAGTTACGCGTTATCACAACAACCGTCGTGATACATTTCTGCGACATGACATTGTATTGATTACTCATTATTTTATATTACTGTCGTGTCGAAAACAAAAATCGATTCCAATTCCAAAGCTCTGCCTCCTTTTCTAGATATTTTTACAAAATAATTACACACGTTAATTTAACTTTCTTCCGGCGGCTATTATTAAAAATGCTATCCAGACTTATCAAATTATAAAATTAATTGCATATTATATGCCAAACACATTACATTATAACGGAGCGTAGTATATATAGCGATTATATAATCGAGTACTGGGCTATAGATAACAACCGGCTTCACTTTGAATTTTTTTTCTAATTTGCATTTACCATTTTTCATAACTTTTAGATTTAAAAAGTTTATCAAAAAGTTCGTCACCAAACAAATAATATTTTTTCGTGAAATATGAACGCATTGTCTATTGATTAACATTTGAAAACAATGTTTGTGTACGAATGATAAATGACGATGGTTGACTCGAAACCGTCAATAGTTCGAACCTTGTAAGTCCAATAAAGAGAATTTAATAACAACGATTGTCATTATATATTCATCGATAACAATACGGTCGTGGCGTTTTTTTCTTGTTTCGTTCGAGATAATATATATTTAGTTTCCTTGTTTGTAAATGTTAACTTGTAGTGACTCAACATTTTCGCCGAAGAATTTCCGTGCAGGATTTCTACTGGTGTAAAGCGTACTTATTTATCATAACAATTGGTACGCACGTTTGAAGTCCAACAATTCTTTTCTTTTTTTTTTTTTTTTTTTCAATTTGTTTTTTTCAATACATTTCCGGATTCCCTTCGGCACGTCCTAAAGTTCTATTTCGCGTCACTATGCACACATGCTACACGCATAATCTCATAATAATTAGTATAATCTCGTTGTTCGGGTGCAACAGAGGGACGGACAAAAAATCGATAAGACCGCAAAAGGTTGAAAACGATCGGAAAACCTTTAATTGTCACACACTCGGTCCAAGAGCTTACCACCCCTAATTTCATTGTTCACGGACGCGATGAGTACCGAATTTTATAGAGTTTTCAGAACCACAGCCATACACATCGAGGCTCCAAGACAACGCGCGCGTCTTCCGATTTATTAAATTATAAACGAAGTTGAACGGCAACATATCGCTACCAAAGTAAATTCATATTTACAATCGTTGAATCAAACATAATATGCATCTGATAAATGCATGTCACACCGGTTGTTAACGAACGTACGCGCCGCCGATATCGCGGGAATATAATAATATTGTACGTCTTCGGTCGTAAATCACCTTGAATACACGGTATTATCACAATCGCGTGTCTATGAAACACGTGAAACCGATCGAATTACGTTCAGGAATAAAATAATTTATTTTCAACAGCTTTGCGCGTGTGCATCTGCTACGTATGATTATGCGATGGAGGCGAGCGCGAAGTTGTGTCGTTCCATGTTAGTGAAAAAGCCGAACTCTGTAAACCCATTTTCTGATTGTTGCATCTCAAAACTAATAATCATTACAGCGAAAGTTATACTATTTTCTGTTTTCCTATCCGATACCATGAAATACAGAAAGTTCACAAAAATCAAATATTACACTTTGAGATTGATTTTTATAACGGTAGTTATAGTTATAGTTCTTCCGCAAGCACCTTTGAAAAAATCGTTCATCAGTTTTACAAAACATTTAGTGAAATCCCCAGTTAACCGGCTAATAAATTTATCGTTAAGTTTAATGAACTATTATCGATTGTGCAACGTCAATCGTACCGGAAAACTTGATCGAAAAAAAGTCCATGGATAGAAAAGCATAATTGTACAGCACTGATAGTTTATTATTAGTCACTGATCTATTAGACTTGCATGATTTAATATTATTATTTTTAGTTAACTAAATCCACTTTTGTTTTTCAAGATGTTGACATTATACTAAAATGCATACTTATATTACAGTGATTACTGTTTAAAAGCGATTTGTTTTTAAATGTTAACGATATGATTAAAATGTACATTTTTAAGCCGTTAAGCCGTGGCGACGAAAAATAAAAAGAGAGTCTCTAAAGAATGACACTTTTCCCATCGCTACTATTTCCGTTGCCAAATAATGGATGAAATGATTTTTCCATAGTATTTAAAAATAAAATAAAGTTATTTATTTTGTAATATTTTTAAATGTAAATTAATCAAAATTATTTATCGTGTGAATATTTTATCGGTAGTTAAATCAAATTTTGATGAATAAAACATTTTTTTTTTTTTTTTTGAATGGGTCGCATTACAAAAATATAAAGAATGAGGGGTTGCGATCCGAAAAAGGTTGAAAACCACTGGTCTAATCGAACGCGTGTTGCATGCGACCGATATCTGCGGGTCGTATTAACGTTACAACGCGTCGGGTCACGCGCTCGTATTGTACGGTAAGAAAATCGGAAATGTTTGCGATATCGCACGCAACGTTTACACGACGGTGTAAGACCATAGGCGCAACTAGGGTATAACATCTGGTGGGCTACAACCCTCCTACTAAAACTTAAAATAACCTATAAATTACCCCTACTCTTATATAACATGTTAATATATTTTAGATTCTGAGCCAAGTTGGATTTACTACAATGTGTCTTTTTTTGTATGTGACACTATTGTGAGTTAAGTATGCTGTATGCGGTATGCCATGTATGACATGGAATATTTATGGGAGGGATCGGTGGATCTTGGTCCGGTAGAAGGGGGTTATGCCCCCTATCACCCCCTAGTTGCGTCTATGCGTAAGACCTGTATGGGCGGTGTGATACTCTAGTGCGCACACGCGCGTTGAAACTGTGACATCGTTAGTGACAATGGTACCACGTGCTAGACCTTCCCGGAGTCGTCTAAACCAGGGGTATTCAACCTCCGGCCCGCTCTGTCATAATATGCGGCCCCCGATCACATTTTAAATTTAGCATTTACATTTTCTAGTTCAATAAAATTATAACAGTTAAGCTATCGCTATCAAAAATATGTGATAATATAAATTAAATTACCTACCAATATATAATTATTATTGTCTGTTGGTTCGTAATCGATTGTGGAACTAGCACAATATTCTCCTTTATGTGTAAAAATTTCAATTTCATACTTTTTCTTCGTAATATATGTACAATATGTCGGTGAGTAAAAAAACGTAAAATCTCGGATGAAAAACGCGTTTTTCAAGAAAAATGGTCCAATAGCAATTTTTTTTAATCATTAAATTTACTAATCTGTAATTTTAAATGTACCTACCTAATTTTAAAAATTGTAAGAATAAAACTGAATTTTGATTTATAATACATGTTTTTACTACGAATGCGGCCCGCAAGATTTAAAAAAATAATATGTGGCCCGCTACATAAAAAGGTTGAAGACCCCTGGTCTAGACCAGCGGTTCCCGAAGTGTGTGTCGCCGGCACGACCTCAAGACGAATGTGAAAAATTAAGAATAGTAATTTTAATGAACAATGATCGTAAACCACCTATGAAACCTTTTTCGGATCGTTTCAATGATGATAAACGATTGAGAAATCGGTTGAGGGGGGAGGAGTTAGTGACGTCAAGGTTCCGCGGGACACAAACTATCCGCTAAACGGCCCCATTGAATACGAAACATTTTAGATTTACGGAAACCACCTGGGTCTAGATGAAAACCCGACGATTGGTACGCGCGGGGAGTTTACGATCGGATCGAGAATGTTCTCATTACAATTTCACATCGGTGTACCGAACACGCCATCCCGACCACCCATACCCATAAGCACGATCGCGTTCCTGTTGTATACCAATACGGTCACGCATACAGTTTGCGCAATTATGTGTTGCATATGTGCGTGCGCAGGAAGTGAAGGAGTACCTGGACGCGGAACACCTGACCCCGTATCCGACCAGTGAGCCGCAGCGAACGCCGCTGAACGTGGAGATGCGTACGCTTAAGTCAGAGGCGGACGGCGCGTCGTCGGGCGGCGGCGGCGGTGGTGGCCAGTGGCGATCGCGCAACGAGGTGGGCAGCGTGGACAGCTCGGACACGTATATCAGCTGCAAGTCGCAGCCGTTCCACTCGCAGGGCGACCTGACCGCCGACGACATGCACGACGCGGTGTTCGAGCACGTCGGACATCATCAGCCGACCGGCAACGGGGGCCCGGGCAATGACTCGAACTTGTACGTGAACCCGCTGGAGACCACCAACGGCGGCAAGGGCGGGCCGCCCAGGAGCTTGGGAACGTCGCCGATGGACGAGTGCAAGGAGTTCGGCGGTGGCCGGACGTCGGGAAGCCGGGGCAGCCTGAACGAGACGGCGAAACAGCGGAAGACGAGGTTCTCGCAGGTGAGCGATTAACGCATTATTGATATCCCTCCGTTTTGCCCACAACCCTCGGACCACTCGCGACGCGAACGCGATAGAAACGTAATCGCGCATTCGAGTTCAACGCGAAAATATTTACGAGCCCGCGCAAAAGAGAACGCGTCTACTCGCGTTCGTGTTCCGTTCACAATCCTTTTGTCGGTAAACGCCGATTCGCACCGGCCCGGGCGCGCACATTATCGCCTCGATCGCGACGATATCGTGTGCGGCACACTTTACCTGTTAACACTAGCCGGTGCCCATATCTGTTCAGGTCGTCGGCAGGGGTGTATTAAGACTTACTTCTGGGGGGGGGGGGAAGACTCAAATTTTTTCATTAATTCGTGCTCAACATTTATAAGTAAAATGTTTGGTGATATTTAAATCAAGTGAATCCTTATTATTTGTGGTTTTTTTTTTTTTTTTGATCTAATGCCGGATCCACTTAGAATCGACTTTTGTGCAGCTCTTTTTTAACACCTGTCTGTGTTTTGAAAGTTACGCTTGTATTTTATTTGATTTCTCACCAAGTATCGTTATAAAATGATCCACATTAAAAAAATTTGAAATGTGTATCTCACATATGATCGATTCCTTAAATACAGATTCAGGGGGGGATTGATCGTCCCCTTCGCCCCCCCCCCCCCTAAAATACACCCATGGTCGACGGATGTGCCCACGGTCGTGTAGTCTATCCTGTGATGCTTTGAGGTCTCACCTACGACAGTGCACCCGCTGAAACGTTCAAACCTCGAAACTATCTTAAACCGCTAGAGCAGTGATTCCCAACCGGTGCGATAAATCTATAAATTTTTTTATAAGTATGTGTTTACCAGCTTATTATCGATATTCGATGAAAACTAATCGAATTAATCGTAGAAACATATAATATTATTTATTGTTAAGTATGCCCGTCACAACCGTCTCGATCGATCGATTATATTAATATATGTATATTTCACAATAAATAACCCTCTAACACAGTAGGCTGTAAATAGTGTACATATATAAATATAAAATATGCTTCACATAATATATGGATTGGTGTGCCGCGAACATTTTGTTGAGGATAAAGTGTGCCACATTGTTAAAAAGGTTGAAAACCATTGCGCTAGAGTTCCGACATTCTACGTCTGTTGGATGAAAGTTTAAAAATTATGATACGCTTAATCGAAAGATTATAACTATAAATATAAACAAAACGAATAAAGTGAACATTAAGTTTGCAATAAATATGATTAAGTAAAATATTTAAAATTTCATAGAAACTGAAATGAATCGTTTCTTTTTTTTACTGATCTACTAATACAACTATCATAATTTTTAGTTTATTTTACCATAATTTTTTTTATTTATAATTATTCCAAATGATCATTTACTTATACATTTATGTATACGTACATGGATTGTGAAATAAAGAGTTTAACAAAACAATTAATTATTCAATAATAATAGAATTTATTTTCTTAAAATAAAACATAATATTGCTTAGTGATAATAATAAACTAGTTCTGAAATATTTTTCAGATCATTAAGTCGTAGTTGAACATTAGAAAGCAGCAATAAATTATAACAAAATACTTACAGATTAAATAAAAAAAAAAAGTCCAAATTCAGACTACGAGTCGTTTTATTTATCTAACAGACCACATACAACATAACAAACCTGTCACTATACTCCTCCGCGCTCGTTTAATTTATTTCGCCTGTGTTTGTCTATGCCGGGCGCGATATATAATGCTGACTGGCTCACATTAGAAGAGGAATGAGTTGAAAATCATACCCCTTCACCCCCTTCCGGAAAAACAAATTGTTTTCTATACGTCTAATGAAAATTCCTATTAAAACTCGAGTAATTTTATTATAGCTAATAAAAAATATTATATCAAAAGCTTTATAAAATCATCTGATAACGTAGTTTCTATAACAAACAATATATTCTATAATCTACAACATTTTTACGACGACTAAAGCCGACAAATGTATAAAAATAAAATCAACAATATGTGATTATCGAACTACAGTGGTCCAGTTAAATTGTTTACTATAATTGTTTTTTTTTTTTATAGTAAACAACTGATAATGACAACGGAATGCACATTAAACTACACGATAATTAAATTAATATAGTATCGTTTAAATGTGTATATAAATTGTTTAATGATAGCTTACATTTTACAAACTGTGAAAAAATTTAACTATACGACCATTATATATGTTATAATACATCGTATTTATTTCTGTATTAACATATTTACTGAAAATAAATCAGTAAAAAGAATTCATCCTCAATCAACTTTTTTTTATAATAATTACGAAAAGTTGACGAAAAGGTTTTTTAAAGGATTGAAAAATCGTTTCTTCTTCGTTGAAGATTTGATTATTTTCTCGAGCTCTCTGCTACAAACATATTCAATACGACCACGATAGTGTAAAAACACTTATGTACATAAACAGAAATAGTAATCTAACTAAAATTATGCATTTTTATTTTTGTAAATTATAATTATACCTATTAGTTTATCTGTATAAGTCAATTTCAATAAGATTCACCAGTTTAAATAATTAAATATATTAGACGAGTCAGAATTTGGTACAATATGTAAAATGATCATAGAAAAAACTTTTTAACTACAGCCCTAGCCTAAGGTATTTCCATAACATACAAAGGCACATGGGCGTAACTTTGAAATTTATTGAGAGGGGGAAATATATAGTAACATATCAACTAGTCTATATATATAATTATCTATATAATTAACCTTACATAACTAACTTGGGAATATATGTTAACATTACATTTTGTTTTAGTTAGTAATGAAATAAATTAAACATAAATAAATAAACAAACTTAAACACATTAAAAATTTAGACAATTTTTAATATTTTATAACTTCTAAATAAAATTTATCATAATTATAAAAACTGCAAGAAGGTATATATAATTAACTTTATACTTAAAATAATAACAAATTTATACTAATTTCAGTCTTCTAGCTCTTTGGGTTGATTGTGCATTAAATTGATTTATAATTTTATCAAAATGTATTGTATACATATTTTCTATATTTAAAAGATCTATATTAGTTAGTTTTTCTTAACTAATAGTATTTCTAGTGCATGTCTTGAGATGTAGAACCGGCCAGAACTTTTATTAATATATATATATATATATATATATATATATATATATATATGTCGTAGCCACTTAGTGAAATTGACCAATTTATGAAATGGAAACGGCTTTTTAACACTTCGTAAAATACGAAAATATTTCATGATATGGCCACTTTTTCATGAAACGGCCGTTCCAATTTGACATCGTGTAATTTTTTTCACAATTTGGTCGTTTACTTTGTGTACTGAAAATATATTTTATATTTATCAAAGTTTTATAATAATTTTTGTTTGTTATACTGTGTAATATGGAAAGTATATTATATTAAGTTTAGTTTTGACATAGTTAATAATACGAGTAATAATATGTAGGTAATTAAATAAATTATATAATAATTTTAATAATTTATATATAATATAATTTATCGTATAGTTAATAATTATTTATTTAAATAATTTAATGAATTATGTTAACGAATGTTACATTTAATACTACTTTTAAAACAAGTACAACGTTTAGTTTGACAAGCACTTTTGTATATACAACTCAAAAATCCTTGAACTCCAGATATAATTTTAACTGTTTTACGCAAAATTAATTCATTTTGCTTGTCAACTTGATCAGTAGATATGAAATGTGTTGTGGCCCACTGCATATTTCCAGAACTTGACCATCCTTTAATTAAACTATGTTCAGTTTCTACTCTATATATCTCATTTTTTTTTCTCAACTATTACAGCAATCATGTGTGCTGGGTCCAAAGGCCCTCTATTGACTTTTGAAACAGGAATTGTGATGCAGTCATTAATATTGAACGTAGGAATTATAACCTGTAACAAACAACAACAAAATTTATATAAATATACTGTACACATCCAATTTATTTACTATGTATATCATATTGTTATATATAATAAATAATTAGATACCTCTAACATTCTTTCGCTTTTTTTTTTTACCTGTATGCGCTGTTTCACGTTCTTCTTCTATTTTTTGATTTATTTTACACAAATTGCAAAAGTCTTCTGTGGATTCAAATTTACAAATTCCGCAATATCGTTTAACATTTGTTTGTTCTTGTATTTCCTCTTCATATTGGTTGTATATTTCTTCAAAATCTTCTTCAGCTGTTTATTTTTTTAAAACTTCTTGTGGTAAGTTAGATATTGTTAACCCAACCTTAGGCTCACAACCAAATAATGCTTTGTAAAGAGATCGGCCAATTATGCGGTGGTGTAAAGAGTTTTTCTGGAATTGGACAAACTTCAATCCTACAGACCATTTTTTAGATTTATTGTCCTTCATACACGTTATATTTTCGACATCGGGATTACTACGTTCAATACTTCCCTGACTCTGAAGATATCTTGGTCTCTCATTTACAATAATACATTCCGTCCAAAGTTTCTTAATTTCGTTAATAACAGAATTTACAAGCTCTCTACCGTTATCACTTTGTAAAACTTTTGGCGCACCAAAAATTAAAATAACTGTGAGTAAATTAAATGCTACTTCAACCGCTCGTTTACTTTTAAGTGGAAATAAAGATATAAATTTTGTATTGTAGTCTTGATAGTATAAAATCCATCTATAATTTCCTTCAGGTAATGACTGGAAATCCACCAAGTCAACTTGACCTATCTCGTTGAATTATTTGCTTACAATTGGTTTGATAACCAATTTACGATTTGACCCTTTCTTACTATTACATATTTCGTATATTGATAGAAAAGTTTCAATAGCTGGTCTTAGAATCGAATATTTATTGGACAGTATCGCACACATTTTCTCCACACCACCATTTCTAGTACGTATATGGTAATCACTTAGTCTTTAGAATAAGTCTTCGTATGACACAACATACCTATAAAATATATAAATTAATTATTATCGTACATTATCATTAATTTATTTATTTTGTCTACGTGTGCGTTACGACACGTGTAAATGTTCACGTGCAATGAGCCATAGCGTCGGATTTCCACTTGCTGTAGCGCACATCTATAATATTTATTAGCAAGCCTTCGATCCACGACATCACACGTTTTCAGCTTTTCATCGGTCGAGCACTATGATCGCTCTCGGACCGTCGCGCCGCGATCATCGCAGTATGGTTTTCGTACACAATTTGTTTTGAATTACTTATTTACTTTATATATATAAATATATCTTACTTGATATTATCTTTGTCATCAGTTTTTTTATAAATTAAATATTTCTTCTCGGCCGCAGTTAATATATTTTTTAAATCTATGTGTGTATTTTTAAATTTAAATGAATTACCAATACTCATGATTAATGGGTGCTCAAATTAATTAATTTTGTAGGTACTTGTTTAATTTAGCATCAGTTATTTCGGCCATAATTGTCTCAATATTTATACTTGTATATGGCTTTTTTCCCGGTTTGTCCAAATAATACTTGTCCATTCGAATGTAAAATTCACTTTTTGGATTAAAATCTTCCATATTATTAAGATTATACAAAATTATTTTAAAGTAAGTATCTAAAATGCGTGAATGTGCGAGTACAATGCAATCAGTTCACCGATTATACACTTTTGAACTTTAACAAAAAATTAATATGATAAATCAAAATCAATAAAATATAATCTGCTCATTTCAGATAACCAGATAATTTTATTTAATAGATATTATTGTATAATACAATTTGTGGTAAAGAAATGTCGTGCTTAAATCAATAGTTATAAGTTATAACTTATAACACATTTCATATCTACTGATAAAAATGATAGAAGATCATGATAAATAAAAAATATATTTTCGATACACAATGTGAACGACCAGATTGTGAAAAAAATTACACGATGTCAAATTAGAACGACCGTTTCATGAAAAAGTGACCATATCATGAAATATTTTCGAATTTCACGAAGTGTTAAAAAGCCGTTTCCATTTCATGAAATGGTCAATTTCACTAAGTGGCTACGACATATATAATAATATATAATATAATAAATTTAATTCGAAAACTCTTTCTCATACTATTGAGTGATTTAAAAGTATATACTATTTGACGTATTTAACTCTTTTAGAACTCTCAAATACTGAGTTTCTTTTTGAAGAGGCACATGTAAATGTATAAATTGTATTTAATGTACCAAACATGTATTAAATTGGAACTACTTTTCCACAAACATCAACTACACACAAGTTAAGTATATGTACATAACAATGAACTTACAAAGACAGTTTCTTTTCATCTTGTATTCGTTTTGCTACTTCAGAATAAGAACTACGCATTGAGGCAGCTCCATTGTAGTATTGTCCTCTCATGTTTTCAATTTTTAAGCCTAAAAATGAACTTTTAAAAAATAGGGTTTCATCATCCATTTTGTCTGTTATATAAACACCAATACAATTTTCTAACACATTTAATCTTTTATCATAGTACCTGAAAACAATAGAAACTTTTTCATGATTTTTTAAGTCTTGAATTTCGTTCATTATAACACTGTACACACCCTTTTTTACATTACCTATCTATGATCTTATTATCTATGATAAAACGTTTTTTCCCATCAAATCCCAGTTTTTTTGTGCTTATTTTAAAATAAGATATGTTAAACATCAGAAGAGCAATCTAATGTGTTATTCATTTATGAAGAACAAAAAATACTTACTAAAGTGATTACAATTAAAATTTATATGATGGTTTTTATTTACAAAAATGAAACAAGACAATACAGTATAACAAGAATATTGGGTGTGTTAATGATTGAAAAATTGCTACACCAACTTGCAATTAGATAAAAGTCATCCAGTGGCTTGTTAGGACTTTCTAAGTTAGATACGTAAAAGAGACTCGTTTAGCGATCGTTAGTCATTCGTTGTATAGAGTATAATTTGGATCGAATAGGTCTTACTACCTTGAATAGCAAAGAAAGACCGACGTCCGAAAGCACTCACCTGGTCTTCTGTAGATAGAGTTAGATAACAACATTTTACGCGGAAACGTGATACATCAATAATTATGCAAAATCCTGTTTCTTACTTTGTCATATTCTATAAAATCACAAACGTATTACTGCATACATATAAGTTGACAATAGTTAATGAAAATATATATATATATATTTAAAGAAAATAAATATCTATTAGATTAAAACGAGGGCGAGCAATGCTCTGAAAAATCATTTAGTACTTCATATTAATAATGAGCCATTTCGATGATGTTTAAAATAAGTAAGCTCTGAATAAACCTTGATAACTCAACAGCTTTTTAACACTAAAACTGATGATATTTTTGTTCCTGTATTGATTTACGAGTATATAATAAATTTTGACAGGGGCGTCATTTCAACTTTTGGAAGGGTGGGGCAACTGATTAAATTTGCCAACTTCATAATACAGTCGAGTCGCGATAACTCGAAGTCGAAGGGGGATAAAAATTCACTTCGAGATATGCATTATTCGAGATATCTAACTAATTTATAGGGGAAAAATTTTCTAGGGGAATAAAACACAATTCGAGTTACCAAGTTTTTCGAGTTATCGAGGTTCGATTTATAGTGACTAGATTGTATTTAAAAAAATGATGGTTACCTATATATTTAAATATTTAATATTTATTGATGATAGACTACCAATAAAATATTTTTTTGGAACAAAACATGTAAGGATTAGTAATGAATAATGATGTCATGATGATAAACAAAGAACATGAAATGTTTCTATTTACCCAATTAAGTAATAATATTAAAGATAGTTAAAGATAGTTATTTACTTATCCTATAAGCCAGAGGCGGTCAAACTTTTTTCGGCTATGATCTACTAAAAATATACTTCACCTTTGAAGATCAACTGTCTTGGAAATTTTTTTATAAACTAGAATAAAAGATAAAAACTATACAGATAAAATTTATCGACAATTTGTTCATAACCACGATTAATTTTCGTGCACGTAGCCTAAAAATAAATTCTAACATGATCCACTCTGAAATTGTCCGCGATCGACCGTTTAGCCGCCCCTGCTATAGGCTATAAGTTACCTATCAATAAGTTTAATGGAACAGTAATATAAATCTAATTAAATAAATACTTATAATTTTATTATTTATATTATATTTAATACTTTACTGAACTTATTTATAAAAACACAAAATTATATCTCAAATATAATGTACCGTAGTTTGAGGTGAATAGGAACGATTTTAACGGTTTTTTATAGATTATGAGATAAATTTTTATGGAATCGATACCACGAAAACTGTTTTATAAAGATCACATATATAGAAATATGTAATATACCAAAAAAAAAGTTTATAAGGTTCGCGTAATAACGATTTTCATAGACTGGGGAAGATGAAGAGTTTCCCAACTTTTAATAAACCGTGAACGTGTATTTAAAAGAGAATATTATCCGATTTCTGAGTACAAAATAGTAAATAAAAATAATTATTAAAATAAATAAAATTAATAGTAAATTTACCGATTTTAGCATATGATCATCGAATAAAGAATTGCCGAGTTTTTAAAAGTTCTTAGAATGGGGCATTTGCCATAGTCTGCCTTCCTTTCTCCAAATAACGCCCCTGCATTTCGATTGCACAAACACTAACTGTAGGTCAACGTTTCGATCAAACAACTGAAGAAACTGATTTTATAACTATATTTTTTTTTTAAATTGAGTATTTATTATATTAGTCATATAATTTTATTTTATTTATTATTAAACCTGAGTTCTTTTATATTGATAATGTTTATTTATTACATTGTTTAAATACATATTTCGGACAACAATGTACATCAATATATTTATTATTGCTAATAAGAAAAAGCTTTTTTGAACCCGGGTAAATTTGAAAGATTGGTATCCATCGAAATATTTCCTTCAACAATTATTTTCTTCATTCATCTCTGTTCTTAAAATAAAACTTGATCATCTTGATGGCTATGATTTTAGCCTATAAAGAGGTCAAGTTTCGTCAGTGAAAATAATATTATAATACCAATCGAATCGATGTTTCAGCAACATATATAAATGATCATTTTAAATATATTTACTAAGATGTTAATTTTTTTCTTATTTCTTGAATTGTTGAAGCAATCAAACATAGGGGAGAACTTATTTGGTCGAGCGTCTCAAGAAAGTTTAGATGGTGCACGGAAACGACGACCTTCGTTTGGGTTGTCGTCCAAAACATTGACAAATGCTACAAGAATAATCAATCAACATTTGTTTGGGTTACCATTAATATCAAATAAAACAGGTACTGTAATATATTTTAAGGTATAAACAAATAAATAAATAGCTTATATATAGAAATAAATAAATAAATGTTTAGCCTGGAATATTATTATATTGTAAAGTACGACTGGTTTCGAATTAAAAATTTATAGTCGGATACATACAATGTCAAAATTGGTAGTAAATAATCAATAAATACAGTCATACTTTAAAAATATAATAATAATATTATATAAATAATTTGTATCACAAATAGTTATTATTATTTGTTAACTGTCAAAAGAGCTCAGACTGTATATATTATAAAATAAAATATTCCATGCTAAGGATTTACTAATTAATTTCTATACATAAAGTATTTATTTATTTATATATATATACTAATTTTTAATTTTAGTTTAATTTTTTATTATTTTATTATGTACTCCTATAAATATACGAAAATATAAATATAAATGTACCTACGGGTATATGTTTTTTAAACATGAACTCTGTCTTTGACGATTAACTAATTTATAAATATGTAGTAAGCAATATTGTAGATTATTATCAATCAATAGGTATCATCAAATGGTATAATATACAAAACCAATTTCATCCCTTCACTAAATGTTGTAAACTGAAATAATTGTATGGAAGAACAGGATACATTTCTCTAACAATTATTTTTGATTTTAATTGCTAACAAATGTTCGATAAAACATAAATAAACAATTTCATTTTTTTCTTTAATTAAATCTACTGTATTTTATTAGTAACGATTAAAAATAGACCACATGACGTGAACTTAAGTCTAGGTAAACGCGTTTTCACCCCACTTAAGTAAAATATTATTACGCCAAGTTAACAACTAATTAAAACAATTTAGTTATAAAATTATACATATATTAAACTAGAACAAAAGTCTTAACGTTCGTTAAGAAGCATGTTATTAAAAACTGATCAAAATAATAATGCTAATGTATCATGTCTGTCGACTGTATGGTAATTTGGTATCCATCTGATCTAAATTTCTTGTTCAGTAGCATAAACGTAACCCAGAGGCTCTTTTTTTTATCTTTTTTTTTTTTGCTTATATTTGATATGTAATTGCATTAATAGAATACTTAAAGTATGAACTTAACAATCCAATAGAGTTGTATTTAAATACACAAAAAACATTTATAATCCGTCAGGTATGTCAAAACTGTAATAATAATTTCTAGCGGACATTGGCCTAAATCGCCTTTATTTGGGCACGTTGAATTTGCTCATATATCAATATATTCTCATTGTAGTGTTGCGCAACCCACTATTTTTCCTATTTATTTCGCAAAAACATCATTTAATTTATTTAACGATAATTATTACAAAAATTGACCATAAAAAATAAATAAAAGTGGAACGACTCTAAACGCATACTAAGTATTTTCATATTTCTTTACATTTAAATAATGATTTATACGTTTCGTTTACATTGTACTTAAATTATACTTGAAATATCTTACAGATACATTCAAACTAAAATAACATCTTAATTAACTGTAGACAATCACGTTCAATAGATTTTTTTTTGTTCAAAAATGTAAATAAAAATTAATTTATATAAAACTATAAATTATATCTCTATACTTAATTTAAATTTACAATTCTCTATATTATACTGTTTTATTTCGTACTCGATATTTTCCAGAAAAATGGTTGATTATAAGTAATATCAATAATTTTAAAATTTTAAATTAATTTATCAATAATTTAAACTCATATACATAAATTACAATATATTTAACACACATATTATACATTAATAAATTATATATTTATATATAATAAATAATTTCCTTTATAATTTTGAACTCATCATAAGATTAAATTACAGCTTAAAGCATATGTAATGTGATAACAGCCATAAAATATATTGGCGTAGAAACTTGATATGTTTGGACATAACGTTAAAGACCGAAGGGGATGCTGAATTTGGGGTGAGTTCGAGGAAATTAGTCTTTTTATATGTACGTGGTAATTATAGCTGATTGCTATTGAGTTTTGATAGATGCATTTTACTTATTTATAGTATCTGTTTATTGTTTAGATATCATAATATATATACATAGGTATATCATATTATTATTACAAGATATATAAAGTAGAATAATTATTACTAGAACACTATTATTATTATTAGTATTATGAATATGATTTACTACTATTATAACTAGATATTACTATTATACATAGTTGTTTATCATAAACACAATTAATAAAATAATGTATTCTTTAAGTACGTAAGTAATACTATTTTTGACGATATGTATCTCGTGACAATACCGTCGATACCTAATATACATGCTTGAAAAAGTTATAAGACAACTTTGTTTAGATAGTAGTGAATGTTGTCTTTATCATATTACAACTGTAATTAAAATGTATTTGTGATTCGTTGCGAACACATTAAATAGGTAAAACATTATGAATATATTATGATGTTGGTATAGTTATATGATCATTGATTAGATATTTACGTAGGTATATACGTTATACAAATAGCTGCAGAGTAGGATCTTAAAATAACAAATATTAAGATCTTTATTAACACAAGACATATAGTATCTGTAAATAATATGATACATATTGTATTTTTTTAACCGCATAGATTATATATATATTATAACATATTAACATATACCTTCCTATACTTTTCCTTCGATTTTAGAAATGTTTTTCGAACGCACGTATATACTATATGTACGCGGTGGCGAATTCATCGGATTTGATATCGGTAGTCGTAGTCCTGGGATAATAATTTGGGGTATTACCTATATCCGAGAATAATTCGATAATGAATGAAATTTGAATCTACGCTGTTATTCAATAAATTACCGCTAACATAAAGAGGTGCCAATCGAAGATAATATTCGATTAGGAGGAGGGGTAAATACCCAAATCGTACCAATACTTCTCGAATAAGCGGATATTTGGCGCTTGTCGGTAGACACGTCGGGTCATCCTCGAAAAATACGCCATTGCGGACATATGGTAGTATATAACTTGTACATTCTAACTTAATGAAACTTGATAATTTATGACGTAGGTATAAGAATATTATACGTTACTCGAACAATCGAATTATTTTAGTTTTGCTTGTACTAGAGTTATATATAACGATACGTATTATATCATTGCGAATACACTGGATGGTATATGTGTTAACTGGTTATAAGTAACTCGATTCATTTGGATAAAAGTAAAATAATGTCTTTTTTTGATAGCCACAGGTAGGTACGCACGTACTAGACAAATGACACAAAGCACGACAGTGTGACGCAAGAATTTATTAGAGGACTCAAAACGGATCCTACGCTTAACTGCGCCTAACGTGATAATTAGAAGTACCATTTCAGTCATAAAAATAGAACAAGCTCTGTTGTTTTATGAAGATCTTTATTGAATTATATAAAACATAATTGGTCAATAGGAATTCGATATTACTTTTTTTTATTCTCTAGAAAAAATTGTACTATTATTTTAACCTACGGCCATGGTTTTGTACGTTCTAGAATATTTCTGCCACAAACAATTTTTTGAAACAAAATATTTTACGTATTAGTCGATTAAAACATAGTAAACAACGTTCTATCAGTCTAGATTACAAAAAGCGATTAGCTCAAATGTATTCATTGAAGATAGAACTTAAAACTAGGGAAATTAAATATTTGCATTATCCCATAGATCCCACCAAGAGTTACTAGAGTCAAAGTTAATTTATTTTTAAATAGATTTTTTTTCAAAAATTCAGAGGTGCAAACGGAGGTCATTTACACTCCTCCCACTCATAAACGGCATCCTTTCTATCTCTTCACATACACACACATATACATGGTGATATAATATTCACTGTACGCGCGCACTTACCTTTGGTTATCTTTTATAAATCATTAATGTGTACACCTAGACGCGGATTGGCTAGGATATGGAGAAATTACAGCACACCGTTCCCCGTTCTTAACTTCCTTATAGTGGACTACTCGAATTTATTTAAAGATAGTTTTCGAAAGTGAAACCAATTGAAAAAAAATTGAAAAGATCTCTGTAAAAAGAAAATTTAAATAGTGCAATGATTGCGAACTTAAACTAAAAAAAAAAAATTTACAAACAACTTAGTGAATATTCGATACTTCAATAATACATATTAATTTCTTAAGCGTTTAATTTGATCTGTAAGTTTCGTTGCTTTGATGCACCGACCGGTGGAAAAATAAAACAGAAACATGCCTTTCGTACGCTTGTTCCGACCCACGGCCATTGTATTCCCATCCGCGTCTGCGTGCACCAACACATAACCACTCGAAAATATAAATACAGATGTGACGTTGTATTTTTTGACGTACTGACGTCGAATTGTGTACGGATTTTGCAGGGAAAAGCAGTAAGTCCACACCGTCGGCGTCGGTCGAGTCGATTGACCGTTCGCCGGAAACACACCGAAGGTCCAAGTCCATTCTGAAACGGCACCAGAACCCAACGGCATCGCAGGCCACGCAGGACGCGCAGTCGACGAACGGTGGCGGCACCGGAAACCCTTCCGGCAACCACACGAGGATAGGCATCCGGCGCGCGGCCCACGTAGACCCGGAAACGGAGAAACTCATACCGGACAACCTGTCAGACTGTTCGCCGGGCAAGAGTCCGATGTCACCGCCGCAACAGCAGCTTCATCCGCCGGCGCAGCCACTGCCACTGCCCATGGCCGTGCCCGTGACACTGTCGCAACCCCTTCACCATCACCACCACCACAACAACAACAACAACAACAACAACAACAACAACAACAATAACAACATCAACAATAACAGCAGCAGCAGAAACGCGCGCGGTGGCAGGGCTCCGGTCGAAGTGGCGCTGCTGCAGGACTTGCTCGAAGACTCGGGCGGGCCCATATTCATTTGTCCGCCGCCGCCACCGATGACCGATGGGGGTGACAAACGGTACTCGTAGTAATGCATGCGCTCGGTTCCGCGGTTCACCCGAAAAAAACGAATGGGTAAAAGAATAAAAAAAAAAAAAAAGATACGAAAATCTGCCTAGATTCGGCGTCAGTGACCGTCCACGCCACTGCTGCGAGACGAGCATTGCCCTACAAAATGAACCAAACGTTTACACCGTTGCGTACAACGAACTTCAAACGTACACACCGACTTGTTCGAGTCCAACAGCTTTAACCGTAGGCGTAGTATCATGATATTTGATGTTATATATGTGTGCGCCGAATACGTAAATATGTATACACGTCGATTAATTAATTGTGTATGAATGTATATACATATACAATATTATACATAAATGCGATGTAGATTTTTAACTAACGCAATTCTCGTTTTTTATTAAAGAGAAATTTTTAAACTTAAATCATATGAGAAACGCTCATTTTATCATCATTAGATTGTAATGTTTTAGTCTCGAGGTAAATAATAAAAATAAATCATTTGCCGTAGTATTCGTAGATATTCGTTAAGGACGCTTCTTTTTAGGCTTCTGTCAACTGTTTAAATCGATCATCACGAACGTAATCGTTTTTGCATAATCGTCACCTTAGTCATCAATATAACAGTCATCGTCGTCATTATTATTTGATGTACAACGAACAAAATTTTCATATCAAATCGAATCTGCTCCGTACCGCGGAATGTACCCGTGGTGTTTCCCAAGTTCAACCATTTGACATTCAGCTAGATATATGTTGCCAAAACCATAAAACAATCTATCAAAAATCAATATTAAATGCTGTTATAAACGGTTTTATTAAGAAAAAGATTAAAAAAACAATTTATTCGAGTCAATTTTATTTCCTATATTTCTTTATACTAATCAAATATTACCTGTAATTTGTTTTGTTTTTTTAAAAATAATAAAAAATTAAAGACTGGGAAGCAAATGATGAATTCATTATAACATTAACAGGAAATTAAGCATGCATTTTGCACTGGCCTTTTATAATTATTATTTAATTTTTATTGTATGTATATATACAAATATATATACATACATTTATATTAAAATATTATACTTTATACCCACTCGGCACAACAATTTTATCGCTACGCGAAAACCATTTTTAACGCGATCTCAATTTGATATACCGACAGTAGTATATTTAAAAAGTATAATGATATTTTGTGAAAATAATTTAGGAAGAAAGCAATACTATAGTTAAATGTAATTGCGTAGTTGACCTAATCATGTAATTTTAATTGGATTAAAATGAAAACATTGTATACGTACCAACCGATAGGTACACCAAATTTGTAATATGTGTAAAGCATAATTTTTTTTATAGTTCGGTCGAAACGAGTTATTTACTAGTATAGAAGTAAATTATATTATTATACGAACAAAATTATAGTTTCCGTTTTTTAATTCGCCTGTGATTTATCTTTTGTTAAGTTTATAAAATATGTGTATGTATATGTGCAAAAATATACAAAACAATGTTATTGAGCATTTCGTTTTTGGAAATACATCCTTTTTGTTATTAGAATTTGTTTGGAAAATAAATAATAATAATACAAAAATAAAATATTATTGACATAATTTATGGTTCTTTAAATATGTTCCTCTTTTTGATAGATAAAAATATATAACCACACTAAAAACAAAATAAAGGAAAAAATTAGCCATGATTAAATTTTTTTTTTATAAACTTGTATTAAAAACAAAACTATTTTACAAATACATTATAAGTTTTTAAAATTTTATCTAGTCGTAAAAGTACAGTGAATAAAAAAAAATACTTAATTTAAAAAGTATAATAATGAACTTTCTACCTACTGTGTAAATTTGTATTATTTTTTCACTTTTAAATAACTTTAATTCATATGATGTTCCTTGGAACATAAAAACTTATTTACCAGAATAAATAAAATTATATTACTAATTCTAGTAATAATCTTAAATAAACTTATTCAAATTAATTACTTGAGGATATTAATTCAAATTAATTTTTCAACATTAAATTTTAAATATTTGAAATAATAATAAATTATTATTATTAATCAATTATATTATAAGTATATCAAGGATGTGGTTTTTATGAAGAAAAATAACTGAATTAAATTAACATTTACATGGCCTAATACTTAAATAATACTAGATATCTTTTCAATGTTTGAAAAATAAGTTTTTAAACCATTATATATGAGTGGCACTAATCGACAACATTTTGTACTCATAACATATTCAGATCATCATAGTAAAAAATAGTTGTTCTACAATAATAAGAAAAACAAGAACAATTATTGATTAATTACAAAAAAAAAAATAAATAAATAAATAAATAAATAAATATATAAAAAATATTATTATTTAATATTTATTATTATACATAGAAAAATAATAAATATGATTGGAGGAGAATGTATAAAAAATAATTTGATTAGTGCCAGTATTATAAAAACAAAAATAAGTATAAAAATATTATCAAGATCTCCAGAGACTCACAAATTTATCACAGTTATGTAAATGACTAATTAACTAAAATAATTCTAATGGCCTGTATAAATTGGAATAAATTGACACTTAATATAAATAGTTCTAAAGGACGGAACAATTTTCAGTGATGTTTAAGTACATAAAAGTAAAATTACTATGTTGCTAAAATAATCGAAATATACAAAATATATTAATAATAATAAAAATAAACCAACAACAGATTAATCTTACATAAAATAATAATTTTCTCAGCCCTAAATATTTTCAATAAAGTAAAAATAAATTTAAAACTCAAAAAATTATACAACATTTTCTCCTGGTTTTCAATGGATCTCCAACAATTACATCCTCAGTATCACCAGCAAATCTATTAAATGCAGCTTCAGAATCGGATGGCATATCAGCACTATTAGAGAGAAGACCAGCTGCTGCACGTGTTTGTGCTCGCTGCTTTTTCAGTTCAGCTAATGTGCCCGCATTGATAGTAACAGAAACATGAATATTTATTTTACCATCACTTTCTGTCGTATAGCAGGTTTCAGCAGCAGAACCAACATCAACAGTTTCCAATTGTGATTTTTCATCATTAATGTCTTCACCTTCAGGTTCTCGACGTTCTGTAGTAGGAATTGCTGAAGTAATAGGTACTGGAGCATGAATGGAATATGAATCTAATGATGAATCTCCTTCAAAGTCACTAGTTGTACGCTCCTTAGCTAAAAACTTTTTTGCAAACTAAAAATATGAAACAATAAATAAATAATGATGTCAAATTAATAACATTATTATAATATTATTATATTAAAGATATAGAAGAAAGTAAATATAAAACTTACATTTTGAGCTTCAATCCGTAATCTAGCTTCTTCCACTGCATCCTTTTTGGATGTTAGAGTTTTCTCTCTAATAGATGTTCTCCGAACAGATTGAGCTCTAGTATTATTTGACTGTGTGCGTCGCACTCTTCTTTTTTGAGCTTCTTTTTTGGTTTCTTGTTCATTACGTAACTGTAATATACGGTCACGTAAATCTGGATCTTCACAAATATCTGCAGGAGTTTCATCATTTTTTGTTTTAGCATTTAAATCAGCACCATTCTGCACTAAGATCTCCAGTACTTCTAACTGATCACATATATAAATTAAACATAAATACATGATAGATATATAAAAGCTAATTTATATCAGAAATATTCTGGGCCTAGATTCAGTAGAATTACAAATTTAACACAATTAACTTAGTAAAGTTCTCAAAAATAAATATTTAAATAATTAATTTTTATTTATTTTAGTTATTCTAGTCATTACTGTTTCATTTTTTATAAAATAATCAATTTGTTAACCATTTATTATGATTTACAAAATATAGTTTATTATATTTTATTAATTTATACTCCTTGTTTATATTCCTTTCTATTTATTATTTAATGGTCTTGATAATCCTATCGATTATAACATGCATTAAAATTAAGCATTTACTTGAGATTACTTTTCTACCATTACTTCAAAATATCATTCAACTTTCTTTAAATACAAAAAAATCAAGGAGAGTTTTTCTATGATTTCAATCTTAATATTTTCAATTGCCTTCTTTTTAACAACTATATTGTTTTATCATTTTTAATTGCACTAGATTACCAATTTCTCAATTCATATCTTCTTCTAAAATTTAAATCTTTTTTTACCTACTATCTTGATATTTATATTACCTACGTTGGTGTACTTTAAAATAACCATATATTTAGTTCTGATAACACATTTTATTTTATTTTTTAATCACCTTGCAATAATTTTGAAAAAGTAAGTATTTAAAATAAAGTGGGTCCCCAAATACTTCTAGACAAGTCTAGTACATATATAATAAATAAACTTACATGTCCCCAACAAGCAGCGGCATGAACAGGTTGCCATTCATCAGAATCTTTAACATCAGTCGCAACATGGTTATCTAATAAATATTCAACTACCTTTGAATAACCATTGGCAGCAGCAATATGTAACTAAAATAAAATATTAAGATGTTTAAAATGTTATTCAACAATAAAATTATATATTTATTACAGGTGTTGCGCCTTGATGGTCATACGATTCTAGTAAATAACTTTGGTTATTATCAATAGCTTGTTGAAGTTCATGAAGCATTCGATGTTCTGTAGTGGCACGTGTATTATCAATCAACTGTTGAGTTACACCCCGTCTGGCCATTTCACTTTCAATAAGATCTAATGCAGCTTCATCTTCACAGATATCGTATGGCATGTTACCATCAGCATTCACAGCAAGTAAATTAGCACCCCTTAAAAAAACGTTTATATCAAACAAACAGTAGAGAAATATTTTAAAATAAAAGCATACTTATCAATTAGGTATTTTATGAGATGTAAATGAGCACAAGTGGCTGCTGCATGTAACGGAGTCCACTTTTCACTATCTTCTGCATTCACATTAGCACCAAACTCCACCAAGAGTTTCATCATTTGTTCATTATCATCAATACAACACTATGGAAATTTAAAATATAAACTGTTAAATCACAAAATAAGGTGAATAATCTAAGACAAATATATATTTTTAAATGCTTTATGTATATTAAAAATGATAAAGAATAACAAATATAAATTACATAAAACGCACAGTTAATTAACAATAAATCAAATGAAAACAAAAATTAAGTATGATAATTATAACATCTTTTTTCAAGTTTAGTTGTTACATGCGTTAAACAAATGTTTGTCAAAGAGTTTACATCTTAAAGCCATTATGGTACAAGTAACAGTATTTTAGATAGGTAAACTTTACCTGATGCAAAGCCGTAAGTCCATCTTCATTTGTAGCATCTGGACTGACTCCTTTGACCAAAAGTCTTTTCACTAGAAACATTCATCACTTGATAAAAAAAAAAAAAAAAAAAAACCACCAAGCCCGTCATTGGATATTTTCTAAATACTTAAGTCATACCTTCATCTATGTCGTTCCTGGAAGCTGCTTCTAATAACATGACATTATCGCTGAAATATATGTGCCTGTTGTTTCGCGGCGGAGACGATCGCCGCCGTTCACGATCTTTTTGTGCCCACAGCCGCAACTGTTGCACCCGGCGGCGTCTAGCTAAAGCCAACCTATCGGCCGTAGGCATGCGCTCCAGATGAGACATTTCCAACACCAACTCGCTGTGATCCATCTCGTTCAAAGGACTCAACGACTACGGACTGCGAAACGATTTCGATCGACCAGACGGTCAGTGCCCAGTAACACAATTTCTTTTCACCGTCACCGGTTGTCTCATTTGCATAGTTGAAATGTCCATTACCGTACGCGGTGACGTTCCTCGTACCTCGCCGATACGAAGACAAACGTTACAAAAGTTTTTTATATTCTACACTACGCGGAAAATTTGACGTGTTCGATAATAATTTTTCTATTCCTACAACTAACTAAACCTAGTAGATAAGAAAAAAAAATTAAACCCACGGAGAAAGAAAAGAAATACCGTTGTTTTTATTATCACTTGCTCTTATCATCAGAAATCGCACACGCCATACACGCTGTCTACGGTTGTACAAATCGGTAAACAGGTTGGTCGTCGTTGGCAATAATCTTAGATCTGTGCAGTATTGTGTGTTACGATTAAAATTCTAAGGCAAATAACCTTGACTATGAATACTGTTATAAATATTTATTTTAGACGGTAATAATAGCGTTGATTATAGGATATTGTTATACAATTTTATTTATAAAATCAATGGTAATTGAATTATGTAATGATATGCTTCTAAGCACATTCATATAATTTTTAAAATTTAATGTATAATTAAATAATTATTATATTCGATGGCCATTAAATATAATAATAAGTCGTAAGTATTAAAGATAAGATTTTACACACACACGTACACGCACGCGCACAGAGACACACACACACACACACACACATCATATATAAGGAATATAGTTTTTTAGTTAGGGGAGACGCGTTCTTTTTGTCCTTTTGTATAGACGGTCAGAGGCGAGTGTAAAAGACTACGCAAATCATCTATGCAGAAAGATATAATTAGTTGTAAAACGTTCTGTAAAAATTTAAAATACCTGCATTAATGTGTGTAAAAATAAGTTTAATTAGAATTATTAAACGTAAGTAAAAGAAAAAGTTATTAATATTTTAAAGTACGAATTGGTTACCTTATCTCATTACTCAAACGTCAACCACGGTTTTCAACAGGCAGGTCAATACAATCACCGGAGAGCAGTGGCGTATTTAGGAATTTTTCTAGGGGGGGGGGGATGAAATATATAATAATACATCCTAACACCCATTAATTCGTACATAATATAAATTTTTAAAATCCCCTAACTTGTTACCTATTGAGGTTAGTGTGGATCAAGGCAAAATAAGAATTAATCTTTATAATTACCTCATCATTTTCCAAACAATTTTTTTTATTTGTACTAAAATAAGAAAATAAAGTTTTTTTTTGTTTTTGAATATTACTCATATTGTCTTAAAACTTCACAGTTACAACTTACAAGACGCAAAAAATAAAATCGAACAATAGTCAATTCGGCAGTAAGTCAGTACTCGGAATGGCGCAGCGTCGCTATCCGTCAACGTCCAATGACCGTACATATCTACTTTTAACGAATCACGATATCATAAGATAAAATATATATATATATATAGCTGTACATTAGCCATAAATCTACTAGTAACAAATTTTCTAAAAATAAACCCGCCCGGCCGCCCTATGGTTAATCCACGGTCTTCATGGTCATTTTGTTTTGTTTACCGATTGCTTATCGGGGTAAACACTCTTGCATGAAAAATAATTCACAGAAACGTACAAAATACAGTACACCATAATATAGGTATATGCCTGATAGTCGTATATGCCGCCAACGATAAACGATTAGTGGCGATTAGTATATCAGACTATCAAAGCGGTACAATTACCACGACTAGAACATTTAGAAAACAGAAAACATACATGCTTGAAAGTAATATCATATTAAGAATATTAGAGAAAATGAGACAACTTATAGCTACCTAGGAAAAAAAAAAAGGTCAAGGGGGGGATCTATCCCCCATATCCCCTCCCGTAAATACGCCACTGCCGGAGAGGTAATATTAAATATTTATAATATAATAAGTAATGATTTAAAAAAATATATAAATTCTTCACTCAAAAATTAATATATAAAATCCTTTAATTTTTAAATCATTACAATTACCTACACGAGATGCGATATTAGTAAAATATATGGACGGGCTACGGAGTACGTAAGGTTTTTCGCCGCTGGGCACAATGATTATATACCATATAGACTACAGAAATCTTCCGCATCATGGTGCGTCGTAAACTAGGTATCTAACGTATATTTTATTTTACCCGTCTCTCCGGCGAACATTAGGTACATGAAATATACAGAGGTTTTATACAAAATGTTTTAAAATGTATTCAGGTATGTAATTCAATGACCAGAACGTCCAGTCAATCATGCTATATATGTGGTGGCATTCCAAAATGTTTCAATGACATAGAAAAAAGTAAAATAAGGCATGTAAATCCACAGAATTTTAAGTATGGTTTATCAACTTTACACGCGTGGATCCGATTCTTCGAGTGTGTTATACACATATCGTATCGTTTACCAATTAAATGTTGGCAGTTAATATAACCGTAGCTTAGTTGTATAAATTATAAATATTTCAAAATAAGTACTATATTATATATTATACATCGAGATATATAATTTCATAGTTTGAATATCTAGGTTAGAACAGAAGAAAATAAAGAAACATTTAAAACACGGAAAATTGTGATTCAGAACAAATTTCGTTCAGAAATGGGATTGGAGCCAACATCAGTTGCGTTAGACAACAACTACTACCGACTAATTACACAATGACCCCGAATAAATTACTACTTTCAGGTCCAGATAACAAACCACTAAATGTATTGAGTGCAGGGCCGTATTTGCGCATAGGCACTATAGGCATTATGCCTAGGGCCTACGAACATTTTTGGGCATATGAAAATGTGTGGCTACGTTTATTTTGTAGTATGTAAATTGGTATAAATAAAAAATTTTTATGGTTTTTGACAATTTATATTATATATGTTTTGGATTAAAATTAATTTTTTTTAATATTTGTTAAGACTTTTATCGTATAAAAATGTATAATAGTTATCATATAAAAATTTAGATTAAATTTTTATGTTGTAAATATTATTGCTTTTAAAAGCTTATTACTACGTAAGAATCTACACTTTCATAACCATTTAAATACTGGACAACGGCACAGCAAGGACTAGGTACCTAGAGCCTACGATAGTGTTAATCCGGGTCTGATTGAGTGTAACTAACATAAAAATAATGATTAACGATAACGAATTCAATATACTCACCTATGTAGTAAAATATTTATCAAGTGCAATAATACTTGGCAATGACTTTTTCATGAAATATAATGCCCTCGTTGATTATATAAATAAAATAATCATACTAGACAATAATATGCAAATTGAATTACAAATAAATCACTTAAGCGCCTTAAACCACATAAATAAAACTAAAAACATATTAGAAATCAAAGATAGTATATTTAATTCGCCCTTTGACTTTGCTATAGCTCACTGCATAACAGCCGACCTCAAAATGAGTGCAGGCATACCAAACCTATATGCAAAGTATATGGTGACACATATCAAAAACTAGCATCACAAAAATTCAAGGTAGACGACATCATACCAATAAATAATAATCAAAGAACCATATTTCACTTCATAATTGGGTTGCCATAAATTTGTAAGGCGAATACGGGACAACACAAACACAATATTGAGTGATATACTTTTTATATAACTCTAAATATATTGATATGATCAGTAGCGTATACAAGGGGGGGGATGTGGAGGTCAGATCTCAGCCTTTTTTTAAATGTTATAAAATAATGTTTTTAGTGTGAGGGTGTTAAAACGTAAAAAAAAACTGAGCCGCTACGGGACACCTGATAGATGTGAAACATTAAAAATTTTCTTTTTGTAATAATGTTGAAAATAGATGATGAGTAAGATGACTATGAAATAAAAGTTTCAATAGCGTCTATAATACGCAGCTTATTCTCCCTGGCCCCCTCCGGCCATCCTTCAAACCGGTCGTACCATTTTACATGTTATGATTGAAACTGTCAAAAGGCAGTTTCACTGTAACCATGATTATAACATTTTCTTTATCATGACCGTCGCCGTTGTCGAAAAAACTAATATGGTATTTCTATTGAAATAACTGTTTATAGGTTTTAGACTTTGTGGCTTTCAATTTAATAATAAACAAAGAAAACAATATGAATTATATAATATAATTTCAATTAAAATAAAAATATTTTTATGCATTTTTATTTTAATTAATTATTATTTACAAGTAACTGTTTTTTTTTATTTAAAGGGGGAGACGCAGTCTCAAAGTCTCCCCTGACGAGCCACCCCTGATCATTCCTATCAAAATAAAAAAATTAACCTTTGGCTTGAATCAGTAAATTGTGCACATGACGCGGAAACATTTCACTCCAACCTGCATTTTGGTTATCTTGAAATTTAATTATTTTCTCTGGCGGAGATGCACTGTCTCATTCCAATATTTTCGTTATATTTTTACTGTCACTCATAATTTAATAGAAAATTATATTCATATTTATATACGATGTACGTATATTATATAATATTACGATATATAAAAGTTTAAAACAACATATTATACATATACGTAACAATATAGGTGTACATATTATATCGCACATCCATATCAAAACAGTTCAACTCAAAAAGTTGGTTTTTTTAGTTTAACGTATATTCGGATTCTACAAACGAAATTACAAAAACAACAAAACAGCTTTATCTTTATCTTTAATATTCTCCGTCAGATGGCAATGTAAATACATTTTATTGAATAAATGATACCAAGGTACCACCAACAAAACCGACATTCCTGAAAAAAGCGTTTTTTCAAAAGATATGTTGAAAAAAGTAATTATACTGGTACGGATATTAATTTTTATTTGCTAGCATATAGAAATACTCCTATAACTGGGCTACAATATAGTCCCGTTCAGTTACTTCAGAGCAGAGAACTGAGAAGTACATTGTTCGTAGATAAAAGTAAATTTAAACCTAAAGTTGTAAAATGCCACGAATAAATCTTAAAAAATAAAGAAAAACAAAAGTACTGATATGACAGGGCAGCAAAGAATGTGGTTGAAAATTTTAGCGAAAGACAGTAAGTCTTTGTCCAAGAAAAGTTTAATAAAAAATGGAGTCAGGGTAAGATTCTTAAAAAATTACCGGAGCCAAGAAGCTTTTTAGTTAAATTTAAAGGAGGTAATACATTGAAGGAGAAATGTGCAGTTGAAAGATAGAAAACAAACAAAACTGGATTTCAGACCACTGTGTGTCGGTCAAATATTTTGAATCTCTCTGTAAAAAATGGAGCCAGAACATACAAATAAATACTACTATTAAGATTTATCAAAAATAAATATAATTTTATGTCCTTTATGCATTGAAAAAAACCCAAATTGCATACAAGGTCATATATTCAAAACATTTCGTGTTACCTTTATCGTTGAACACACTGTATAAATTATAAATGAAATCGTTTAATATTTTTTTTAATTAATAAATTAAACAAATTAAAACATATAAAAACATACAATTTCCTTTTTTTTTTTTAATTAACAAATTATAATATAATAAAAATATAATTCATTTCAATTTTTTTGAACTTACAAATTCTAGCATAATAAAACATACTATTTTATTTTTTTTTCATTAGGTACATCATTTTTAAAATTAATTTTGCTAAAATATTTTGCCGTTCCTGAGACTTGACGCCCCCTGGCATGTTCCATACCCGTTCCCCCTCCAAATACGGGCCTGCATAGGGACATTGATATTATCTGCATATCAAAGGAAACGATTGACTATTATCGATCGTTATCGTATGACCATGTTAGATTAGAAGATAATTTAGTTAAATAATTTAAGATATGTAATATAATTTGAAAAAAAAATACAAATAGGATTTATAAATAATATAAAATTATACTCACCTTAATACACAGTAAGTCATATTATGATGAACAATTACTACGAATAAGGGTATTATTAGTAATGACGTCTCTGTTAATGACATTATCATAAATGTTTTTGTTTTTTATCTGTACGATACGCGATAAGTGTAAGGTGACCATACGTCCCGTTTTTTTGCATCTTTGTTTCGTTGTCCCCAGGAAAATTTCCGGGACAATAAAATGTCCCGTTTTCAAAAAATAGTAAAAACAACGATAATTAATTTTAATCTATCGATGAATTATTGTTTCTACCCATATTATATTTAACTATTATGTGCACATGTAACATGTATACAGGGGCGTATTTAGGGGGGGGGAGTGACATGGGTGTTAGAACACCCCCCCATCGACCTTATTTTATGGCATTTCACCAAATTATAAACTTACTTTGATCATTTGAATAAACGTTGAATACAACTTGTAGGTTTTACATATACTGTTTTAATGTAATCATTTTCATTTATATAAATACATGGAATTTATTTATGTAATACAGGGGAGGGGGCAGAGGCTCTACTTACCATAAGTCTATTAAATTTTAAAACACCCTTGCTAAATGAATTCTGGATATGCCACTGCGTGTATAAACTGTATTACTGCATGGATGACGTTGAACGGAAGCGGGACTATGTGGTGTATCGGAAAATAACTACACTAATAAAATATAAAAAAAACCTATTGCGACGAACGATGTATCAATATAGACGAGATGTGTTATAATTAGGGTTCGGAAATTATAGGAGTCTGTTAAATTATTGTATTAAATCATAAATATTTTCGTTAAATTCATAGTAGACATTAAAAAATAACAATAAATAACCATGAAATATAATGTTGAGTTTTATATGATGTACGTTTTCCGCTTTATTAATGTTGTGTTATGTAACATTATTAAAAATAAATAGGTTAAGAATGAAAATTATTAATTTTTTTAGAAAACATTAAATATGCATACAAATATGGCAAAATCTATGAAAATCAATAAAATATGCAAAATATGCATTCTCAGTTTTCAATTTTTAAACTCAATATTGTATAGCTTGAATTTCTAATTTGGTCTGTTATAAACCGAGTGCATACAGAAAAATATGCAACTCCTATAACTTCCGAGCCCTAGTTATAATATAAATGAGTAATACCGCAAAATCAGCACTAAATTATTTTCATAGTTAATTATTTCGGTAATACAGTAATTATGAACCGTTTTTTTTCTTTACGTAGACGATTTTTCTTTTTTATAAAAAAGTTGTTTTTAATAAAATTTAATTTTTTTGTCTTTTAAAACTATAATTGTACATTATTTTATTAATAATTGCCAAATAAAAAAATTTGTTCTTAATCTAAATGATTTTTTTTTTGTCCCGTTTTGACTAGAAAAATTATTTTATGTCTACTTTCAAGTCGGTGTATAATATTATACTAATATAAAGAATGAAATCATCAAGGAAAAGGAAAACTTTACTTTTTTATTTCCCAGCAAATTAAACTTGGTATTCCAAAATCGACCAGTACCTATCCTTTATTGAAGCTCAAAACAAATGCGATTCAACACTGTATCAATCAGCTCATCGATTTTTGCGTAATGGTGATACATTTCCAGTATCCGTATCTACTAGTGATCTACTTGTTTTCTTTCCTTCTTAGATTAAAAACGTATTTATGTAACTGAACGGGCAAAAAAAAGATTAAATGGATTAACATTTTTAAATACATATAGAGACATAGAGGTTAATTGTGAAGATATTCTTAACATAATCGCTAAAACTCAAGGAAATTAGATTCAGTATAGTAATTTTGTTGTAGATATCAATGTTTATATTAAAAAAAAGTATTGTAAGTATTGATACCTATGTCTATTAAAAAAAAAAAAGTTCTCTTTTTCAATAATTGATTTTCAAAAACTCCTTAAAACTTTTTTTGTATACGTCCCTGGTGCGCTCTAATTATGAATTTGTACTAGTTTTAACTAACGAGTTACCCTCCATGAGCATCGCTTAAAATATATTTCATTAGTATTTTATTTCAAGCCATGCTCGGTAAGAATAAAATATGTAAAGGTATGTCCTTGGAGTAAATATTACCAAATTTTTTCGTAACGCATTATCATAGATATCTTATCAGTTATGATAATGCTAAAAAGATAATAATCGGTTGGTGAGAGAAGAAGGACCACAATAATTACTTGCACTTAATTATTTTTCGTTCTGAATTTTTAGTAGATCATTCATATTTAATCGTTGTCCACGCAGGTAAATCAAACTTGTGTTCAAACGCATATCTTGCGTGTCTAGTTTATGTTGAGTGATTTTTAACTTTTTTTTCACTGTTATTTGATATATTTAAATTGTTATAAATTTACTAGCAACTCTAGTTTAATCTAACCTAATACTTTTTAGAACTCAAAAAGGTGCTTTATATATGTTTACAAGGATTTTTAAAGTTTTCAATTCGACCAAAAATGTAAGTTGACTCTAAAATTTTTTTCGCATTTATTTCTACTGGACTTACAGTTTATGACTAGGAAAATTTGCAAGTATTCAATTTAGCTTTTATCTAAAGCAATATAATACCTACCTAATCTCCTAATTAATTATTGATAGTTAAATAGTCAATACCTAGAATGCAAAGTATCAAAAAACACTGAAAATCAATATGTTATATACCTAGTTGTGAAACTAATTATCATTGGGGCACAATAATCGCTTTTACAACAATAAAAAATATTATGAACTTACATTTTTTAAGTACTACTGCAGTATGGAAATATTATTTAAAATATATACTCATGGAATTTGGTATTGGAATGCTGAAATATAGATAATGCAGTAAGAGTTTAAATAAAATACCCTTTAACCAGATATCTTGATATGTAGTTGGTATTCAAATTCTGAAATGCAGTAAAAGTTAAAATAAAATATTCTTTAACCAGACATTCTGATATGTAGTTAAAATTATAAAGTTCTCAAACCATTACTACATATAGAACATAGTTGTTGATTAACATATAGTTGAGTTACTTAATAATTAACTTTTATTAAGGGTTCATTAAAACTGAATCCTATAACATCAATACATTATTATTGTTTATTACTGTTATAACTATAACAAATTTTAATGATTACTATTTGTCCTATATCTAATTAATATAATATAAAAATAATTATTATAATGTTCTGACCATATTTTGTGGAGTTAAAAGTTGAATATAGTGATCCCTAACCTTTGAATCGCTGATTAATTATGGAGAGTTACCAAAAATATGAAAACAAGAAAATAGTTATCCAACTGTTGTACACTTAACTGGAAAAAAATTACAATTTCACTACTTATAAATTAATGAATTATATTGTATTATAATGTATAGTGTTGTAAAAACAAAAAAAATCAACCAATATTTTTTTAAATGTTTTATTTATTTATTGAATATTTTACTTCAGTGTTAGGTATTATAATACTACATAGATACATGTTATAGTTTCATTAATACTAGGTATTTATTATTTTATTTGATAAACAAACAATATGAATTACAAATAAAATATTACTTAATATCTATGTATTAAATGTTTATGAAAGAAAATACCCATCAAATTTGAATGCCTAGTGTTGTTAATATGATTTATTTAGTCAAAGAAATAAAATAGTCAATGATCAAAAAGTAAAATTAAAATTGTATACTTTCATACAATCTATATTTTAATCACTGAACTCTATGAACTTTATTGACTATTGTTAACTAAATACAAAAATTAATTACCAATTATACTATTATAACTTTTTTTTTTTTTTATAAATTTATTGAAATCATCAGTATATGTATGTATAATATTGTATGATATATAAATATTTCCTGAACAAAGTATCCAAGTTATTATCTTATTATTAATATATGAATTGATAAGTATAATACTTGAAGTACTATTCATATTTATATATCTAACTCTAAAAATGTATGTATAAATGTATTTTTATTTTGTTTTTAAAAAAATTATTAGTAAGAATTACAGAAAAAAGCTTGTTATATTATCTTATTTTATCAAATTCTAAGTAATAATAGATTCTATTTGAAGTGGATATTACATCAGAGAATTAGGGATTATTTTATCCACAGTAATTAGTTTTTGTTCTCTGATGCAATATCCACTTGAAATTTTATCATTTATTCTATATAATTCAGCTTTATGTATTGTGTTTAAGATGAATAATTATCAATTCTAATCTTTATAATTGATTGTTTTATATGGATAGTTTATCCAAGCTATGATAATAATTAAATCATTATGTTTATGTAAAGTATAAAGTTTTCTCATTTTTGTTCATTGTGAGTTAGTAGTTTATGGTTCATACAAATACTATTATTCTTTCAACTAACTCATAATTTATTTATTTGTTATTTTTAGTGAAAAAATTTTTATAAGTGTTCTTATTTTTATAGAAAATGAAACCTTTACACTATGTTGATATTTCAAGTGAAAAAGCTACATTTGCTATGGGTTGTTTTTGGGCACCTGACAGTCTTTTTGGCTCTACTCCAGGAGTTATAACTACAAGAGTTGGTTACGCAGGTGGATCAAAGCATTTTTTACCAACATATAAAAATATGTAAGTTAATCACCATATTAATATTCTAAATATCTTGTTAATTTACTTATTTCGTAATGCAATTTTTTTTAGTGGTGACTACACAGAAGCCATTCAATTACAATATGACCCAAATACTGTATCTTATTTAGAGCTATTAAATATGTTTTGGGACCATCATGACCCAACTGCGAAATTTAAAAAACAGGTATGTTATTTTCACTAAATTTTTCTTTTATATATTCAAATGTTTTTTTTTTAATAGAATATTATTTATTTTTAGTACTCATCATTTATATATTATCATAATAAAGAACAAAAATCAGAAGCTGAGAGGACTCTTAATGAGAAGAAAGCTAAAGGTCTAGATATCCTAACTAAAATAGAACCAGCTGGTGAATTTTTCAATGCAGAAGAGTAATTATATTTTATTTTAGTATTCATTTTTATAAACAATAACCTATTTTAAATATTCATAATTATTTAGCTATCATCAAAAATATCGATTGCGACAACATCAAAATCTATGCAAAGACTTGGGTCTTGATTCTGGAGATGATCTAATAAAATCTCATGTAGCTGCTAGACTGAATGGTTATGTTGTGGGTCAAGGAGGAATTGATCAATTTGATGCAGAATCATTAAAACTAGGATTAGACGAAGCTACAATCAAATATGTAAGACATTTGGTGATTAAATATGAAGGTCAAGGATTACATTGTTAGGTAAAATAGTGTTTTCTTTTCATAAATTACATTTATTGTGTATTAACTTTTTGGCATTTTGGAATTTTATTTATCTTTTATTTTTTTAACAAATATATAGATTTTCACTCTGTATTATAGATATTTTTATAGTTATATTATTTTATATTCATCTAGTGTTGGTTGCAATTTACTTACCAAAACATAATAAATAATTGTATTAAAAAATATTTTATATTATATGATTTATATTCTGTGGAATCACTATAGTTATAAATTACATTAATTGATTTTGAATGTCAAACAAATGAATTATATGTATTAATATATACTACTACTATGTTACTAATAAGTAGTAATTAAATGCAATTTATTTTATATTTATCTTTTTAACATCATTCCTGTGGCAACTTCTATTGATTTTATATTTTCTCATAATGTTTATGAATCATTCCCATCCATTCTCAGTGGTCAATAGAAATAGGAGAGATGCTGCCCTATTGATTTCTTTAGATTATATTTTCTATCTATATACACTTTTTTTTTTATAAAGTTATACATTTTACCAAAAATATATTTTTAATCTTTATTGTATAATATGGCTTTCATGGTAACAATATTAGTACACTAGTATTTAGTAAAAACAATTATTTTTATAAACATAAGTATGTTTAAGGGAATATTTAGTGTTATTATGCAATTTTAAAATAGCCTATTTTATTTAAGAGCCACTACACTTTTTTATTTTATTTAAAATGTATGCTATAGCCTCTGTTTATTTATTTCTTATTTTGTAAATTTTTGTCATTTCATATATCCATTTTGGTGTTCTTATTTATCTTACACTAATTTCTGTTATATTTCTTTATTCATTGTTCAGAATGTTTATCTTTACAACTTTCTCTTCAATATCAGGACTAAAATGTATAGTTGAGTCTTCACCTGTTCAGATTCTATCCCCTGTTTTTTGTCTTAAAAACAAACAACCACTCAATTTTATTACTTGCTTTGTATTATTCATTTTGGTTTCTAATCTATAATAGTAATTTGCATATTTTTAATAATTAAAAATAATATGAAAATTATTTTCACTTATTTAGAACGGGTATGATTGAAAAATAACTAAAACTGTTGTTGATCTTTATATTATTATCATTATATTTTTTATTATATTTTTTAAATAAAAATGTATTTGTCTAATGTGTTTGATGTTTAGAGCTGATTGTCTTTCATTATTAATTTTTTTAAACTTAAATTATAAGTTACATTCAATTAAGGTTCTAAAATCAGAAAGCTAATATTTTCATTGATGAAGTTAGTCTGTTAGTTTATTTCATTTTATTAGCAAATTAAGTTAAATTAAATTAATAGGTATAAGAATGTTCATCATATTTTAGTTTCATCTCATATTTCTTGGTAAAAATTATTTTATAATAAGTAATATTCCTCATATTTAATAAATAAAGAAAATAAACCAGTTATGTATAGACTGGTTATTATATTTAGGTTATGATATTATGAATAATTTATTAATAAAGGCAAGTGATTTCAAGTTGGCTGTAGAAAAAGTTCAAACAGTGGTAAATTTTAAATAAGAAGTTTTTTTTTACGTAAATTTATTTATAAGGATATAATAATTATATAACAATAGGAATAATAAAGTAATCTTATCTTCATATTTATATAATATACATATTCTTATCTTTATATAAGTAATTAAACTTCTTAGGTTCGATACAAGTATATACTTCTTTTTTTTCCTTTGTCAATTTAGTTATTATTGAATTATACATGTATAACTATTATATATCAATAAATTATATAATTTATTAACCCTATGAATCAAAATATATTTATTTTATACTGTGGCATGCAAGAGAATTAAGCTTTGAAAATCAGCTCTCTGGACTCTAGTAGCTTTTAGTTTGTCATCCATGTACCTTAGATTAAATTTAAAATAATTTATAATATTTAACTCATGTCTGTACTGTAGTAGATATAGGTTAAACACATTTTAGTTCATGACATTAATTGTATGATGGTACCAGTGACCTATTTATGAAATAACTACAAAATCGAAAGGGATATTTTTAGTGTCCTCTTCTCACCTTTAATGCAAAATAATTTAAAGAGGGGTAGATAAATTCATCAATTAAAATATTTTAAACTTTTTTTAATTATAACTTGTTTTATGATACCTATACATTATATAATATTTTAATTTAATTTATTATTTAAATCAATTAAGTAGAATATTATAGTGGGCTGGATATGCCTGAAACTTATCAATTGCACATAGTAATGTCAAAGAATCGAGAAGAAAAAAGGCCTCTTGGGTGACCTCAGCTGAGATGGTTAGACGTGGTGAAGAGGAATATGAAACCTCTAAGTAGAAGATTAGATTGGAAAGCAAGAGCAGCTGACTTGGAGGATTGGATGTATGACGAGATAGTCATATTGGTCGGCAAAACCCAAAAGAAAAAGAATTACTAAAATAATAAGAACAATTTATAAAAAAGAGTAGGTATTGAATTTTTAACGTCAGATTTAATATAAAGTTAATTAAAAAAATCAAAACGCAAACAAGTTTGTGATTATTTAAAAAAAAAAAAATTGGTTTTCTTTAATGTATGGGCATCTTTATTTATATTATAATGCGTAAACTAGTATCTCATTGTAAGGACAAATAAGTTGCAGACTATTATTTTCAATTCATTGTTCAGTGTATACAAATCGCAGGTCGGTGCTTGAATATTATAATATACCTATTGTTTTATATAATCCTATTATATATTATTTTCATAGAATAATATATTCACACACATCCGTTAAATGATATTTTTTAATAATTTAATACTTCCCATTATGATTATTTTACAAAAGTATAAATTTAAAACAACAGTGATACATTTTACATTTTTTATTCACATAGAATTCGTATTAATAACGAATATAAAAATTCACATGGTCTTGTAAATAACATCCATTGCACTTAGGGGAGGCTTAAATAAAAAAAAATTGTAGTTCTAAAAACAAAAATCTATTCTAAATTATTAAAGCTGGCAACTTGTCGTGGACCGTAAGGAGCACAACGCACAAGTTAATAATAAAAAGAAAGAACAAACACCAACGCTGATAGTAAGGTGGTAATGGCCAGTGGGCCGTATATTAACTCAAATAATAATAATAAAAAATAATAAACAAGATCAGGCGCAATGTAATGACCACCGAATAAAAATTAATTATAATAATCAAAAAAAAAATCTTGTTATTATTTTTATGCGCGAAAATGAGATGCGAAATGTATGGACGTAAAAAGTGGCAATGTAACCAGACGAAGAGTTGACGAACAACAGCTCATCGTTCCGCCGACACTTGCCATCGGCGGTGCCGATGCCCCGCTCTCCCCGCTCTCCCCGCTCCTGAAGGAAGGTGCGGGGTGCGACGCGTCGGTATTGTGATCCGCGAACTATCGGCTGATTAGGAGACTCTATAAATACGGTCGGCGGCGTCCGTTGTGGTGAACGGCCGTCGCCGGGTTCACGTCAAACTCAATAAAATTGTGTGCTGTTTTTTTTGATTTATTCAATTCAACTTAAATTTGACTCAAATTTAAAAGATTTTATTGTATTACAGTGGAACGTCGATTATCCGCACTAATTGGGACCGAAGGGGATGCTATTAATCGATTTGTGCGAATAATCAAACAACCATTGAAAATTGTAATATAAAGTGAAAAACTAATTTACTAAATATAATATTAAATATAATATTCATACATAATAAAAAAAAATACATATATATAACATTATAGTACATGATATAACATAACGAATGATAAAACTAAATTAAATTAAACTAAAAATAAATTTGTACTCAAAAATTTTGTAGTACGGACAATTGACGTGCGGATAATCGACGCTCCACTGTATATCTTTTTTTTCTTTTTTTTCTTTCTTTATGATGAATTTTTCTCAGCTGTAAGTAATATGTAGGTGTTTGATTGTATGAATACATTAATTGATGAAAGATGGAAGTGCGAATGGAAATACGGAAGTTGTGATTATTAATACAAGTAAAATGTATATAAATTAACAATACATGATTCCACTAAACCAGAGTTGTCCAACTTTTTGTAGCTGGTGGGCCAATTTACACTTCCAAAAAAAAAAAAAAATTAATAGTATAAAGTAAATAATATATAAATAATAGTAAAAAAGATATAAGTGTCCAGCAAAAACCCGCAGTCAACAATCGACGTCTAACGTTGCGTTCTAGATGAACGCGATTTTGCGAGCAGGCGGGCGACGTGCGCGAGCGAGTGTCCTGGTTGCGGGCGGACGATTTATAGACGTAAATATTTTTCAATTATTTTCAAGTTGATGATCCAAGTTAATAGTTCTTTGTTGTGAATGTAGTACATTCTTAAAAATGGATCCAAATAATGTAATACTTTATGAAAATACCCTGCTTAAGTACTATGCTATGAAGAAACAAAAAATGTCAAATAAAAAGAAACTAAAATGAAAAAGTACAAACTCAATTTATTTAGGTGAGTTTTAATATGGACTTCTACTTTTGTTCTAATTTTGAATCCATGGTTTTAAATAAATGTTCAGATTTATAAATTAAAATACACAAACAACTGAACTGAAATATTCGAATATGACGACTTTAACGAGTTCTATTATTTTTTTCCGAAGATGGAATCAATGATAGTGTTCACATCATAGTTCATGAACGCAGAAGTTGCATAGGCCCCTAATTATTTTTCATCGGCAATTATAAAAAGGTAAGGTTAGGTAAGATATTTTTGGTGAGATCTAATAAATTAAATTTGTAAATAAATCATACCGGTTTTGTATAATTGGTTATTATCTAAATGTTTTGTTCTACCTAGTGGTGTTCCATGTTCGAACTGGGGGGGGGGGAATAAGTCCCCCCCCATGACCTTTTTTTCAATATTTATTTTTCATGCATATTAAACCTAATACCTTTAATATAGGTATTCATTTATTTTCTAATTTTTTTTTATAAAAACATAAATAATCATCTTTGGTAAATTTTTACAGTAGACCTTATGACTTTATTATTTAGTATATTTTTATACA